CCCCCCCCCCCCCCCCCCCAATTCCTTTCCCGGCCGACAGTACCCCGGTCCATTAAACTCCGCATTATCAACAACAACCATGGCGTCATCATCACCACCACCACTCCACAACGCATCCTCTCCTCCCCCTCCTTCCTCACAGCATCAGCAGCATCAGCACGCCACCGCGTCGACCGTGACAATGAGCGGCGGCCTCGTCTCGCACATCACCCTCGGCAACGTCGTCGCCGCCCTGGCCCTGTACGTCGTCGTGTCGACGCTGGCCGCCGCCGTCGCGCGCAAGCCTTTGTATCCGCGCGGCGTGCCGTGGGTGGGTGGGGGAACAGGAAAAGGAGCAAAAGGAGAAAAAGGAGGGAAAGGAGGGAAAGGAGGAGGTGCTGCGAAGGAAACAAAGGAAGGAGGGGTGGAGGAAACGGGGGGAGGAGGAGGAGGAGGAGGAGGAGGAGGAGGAGGAGGAGGAGAAGGAGGCTGGATGGCTGGGGTGAGGACGATGGTGATGGGCGTGGTGCATATGAGGACTTGGGTGGGGGAGGGGTATGAGAAGGTATGTTTTTTCTTTTTCTTTTTCTTTTTTGGGGGGGTTGTTTTGTGTGTGGATTACGGTTTGGGGGAGGGGACTTTGTGGATGGTGTGAGAGATGGAGGAGAGCGGGTGGGGAGCGGCGGAGGGAAGGTGGGAAGAGATATGGAGGGAGTAACTGGTTGAAATGGAGGGGGGAAAAAACTTGGGGAGAAGAGGAGGAAAAAGGAAAAAAGAACATGAGAAAGCGAGAGGGAGCACAAGAGGTGATGTGTATCAGATACTAACGCACCCCAAAACAGTACAGCAAATCCGACCGCACCTTCATCCTCCCCAGCCAAACGCCAGGCGCCCCGCCCGAGCTCGTCCTGCCGCGCAGCCAAATGGCCTGGCTGCTCGAGCAGCCCGACGCCGTGCTCTCGACCTCTGCCGCCCACTACGACTCGCTGCACGGCGACTACTCCTTCCTCACGCCCGCCCTCCTCGCGGATCCCTACCACGAGCACGTCATCCACCGCTCGCTGGCCCGCAACCTCGCCGCCCTGGTCCCGGCCGTCGACGCCGAAGTCCGCCACGCCACCGACGCCGCCTTCGGGCTCGACACGACCGAGTGGAAGAGCGTCAACGTGTGGGACGCCCTGCTGGCCCTGGTCCCGCAGGTCACCAACCGCATGCTCGTCGGCCCCGACCTGTGCCGCGAGCAGAGCTACCTCGACGGCATGGTCGGCTTCACCAACGACGTCGTCCGCAACATGCTGCTCTTCACCTTCATCCCCTCCGCCCTCAAGCCGCTCGTCGGGCCCCTCCTCGGCCTGCCCAACTGGCTGCACTGGCGCCGCACCGCCCGCCACACCCTGCCGCTCGTGCGCCAGCGCCTCGCCGACATGGCCGCCAAGGACGCCGGCGACCCGGCCTACGCCGACTGGCGCGAGCCCAACGACTACCTGAGCTGGCACATCCGCCTCGCCCGCCGCGAGAACCGCGCCGACGAGCTCGACCCCGTGCGCGTCACCCAGCGCCTGGTGCCCCTCAACTTCGCCAGCATCCACACCACCGTCATGACGGCCCACGCCACCATCCTCGACCTGCTCGCCTCCGACCCCTCCGCCGGCTTCGTCGACGGCATCCGCGACGAGGCCGCCCGCGTCCTCGCCGACGAGCAAAAAGAAGACGGCGGCAGCTGGACCAAGCACGGCCTCGCCCGCCTGCTCCGCGCCGACTCGGCCATCCGCGAGAGCATGCGCGTCTCGACCTTTGCGCAGACGCTCGTCGGCCGCAAGGTCGTCGCCCCGCACGGCCTCACCAACCCGGCCGAGGGCTGGCACGCCCCGCCCGGAGCAAAGCTCAGCCTCCCGCTCTGGGGCGCCCAGCACGACCCGGACCTCTTCGACCGGCCCGACGCCTTCGACGCGTTCCGCCACTCGCGCGAGCGCGAGGCGTGGGAGGCGGCGCGCAGCAGCAGCACGGCCGGGGAGAAGAAGGAGGAGAGAGGAGGGAGCACGGAGCAAGACAGGGACGAAGGGCTGCGGCTGAAGCAAAAGGGCATGGTGACGACGGGCGACACGCATTTCCCGTGGGGCCACGGCCGCCACGCGTGCCCCGGCCGCTTCTTCGTCGCCCACGAGCTCAAGATGCTGCTCGCCTACCTGTTCCTCAACTACGACGTCAAGCCCCTGGCCGAGCGCCCCGGGACGCGCTGGATCGGCATGAACATCGTGCCCGCCGTCGACGCGTGCATCGAGGTCAGGAGGAAGGCGGGGACCGTGCCGCCGCCGCCGCCGTCGGCGACTGCTGCCAATTGATGGAATGTTTTTCTTTCTTTTTTTTTTTGGAAAGATGGGGACGAGTAATAAGTCCGGCTCACTTGGGTTTCCGCCGGCATTTTAAAAAGAGCCGAGAATCTTTCTTTTTTCAACGTCAGCACGTACATACATACATGAGAGAGAAGCGTGAGGAAGGAGATACTGGTTGTACAGGGAGAATAAATATATATATCTGCGCCGTTAGCAGCAGCAGCAGCAGCAGCAGAACCACATGAGACATGAAACATAAAGTAGCGTGTGCAAAGACTTCGCCAAACCCAAACAAAAAGAAATAAACATGGCGATTCCCCTTTTTACCCGAGCAAATAGAAAAAGAAAAAGAGCAAACATGCTCTTAGAACGCCATGTCATAGAATAAGACAGTCCTTCAGGATCATGAGATTCCCCCCCAATTCCCGCACTGACGTCACAGTCGATTGCACAAGATGTCGACCTTCCGTGGCGCACGATCTCTGGTGGGACAGGCTTGGGAGGGCCGGTCTCTTTTGGCGACCACTTGTGACGTGACTATGCAATCATCTCTCTTCCTGTATGTACATACGTAGACACGAGGCAAGCGAGCGGATAGGCATGCAAACACACCTCATGCCTCTCTCTCCAGGGTATCTGTTGCTTTATATGTTTTGCCAAAATGCAAAAAGGAGGTGGAGAAGCGAGCAGCGTTGAACAGAGTTTTTTACGGTGCCCGGCCGAGGCAGAAGTCGGAATCAGGTTAGGAGGCAGCCCGTGATTATGCTGCCGTTTCACAAATCGGAAGGGCCAAAACCCCACAGTTCGTTGAGGTCCCAGCCTTGAATTTCAGGAAATGTGATGATGGGAGGTTGCTCCGAACCGGGCTGCTGGGTGCCGGCAACCGTCAGGCAATTAGCAACATGTTGCGCAGAAGCAGCGGGGGATACAAAAGACGCGACTTACCGGCATCTGAATGCCATACGGTAGCTGGACGTTGGGCATGCCCGGAGCGGTGGTGTATCCCATCGGACCTAGAGACTGCTGTACGAAGCGACAGCGTCAGCGGTTCCATCGGGAAAGGTGGCGGTAGGGGACGTCCGCTTACATTGATGGCCTGTGCCGCTTCCGCCGACAGTTCAGGAAGACGTTCCTGATTGGTCATCATGGTCCGATGCAGCCTCAGAACTCTCTCCACGTTGTGCTTGAGCACTTTCTCCTTCTCGTCAGGTTGCACCTTGGTGATGAGCAAGTCGTAGGCTGCCGATATGTGGCCCATGTGACCAAAGCCTGCGCCGGTACGGCTGGCCTTTTCCTCGATGAGGACAAGAGATTTCTCGACCAGCTCTGCTATGGCAACCTTATGGTTCTGGAAGAAGCGGTAGTCTTGTGACAAACTCGACATGAAAGCGGTGTGGATGATGGAAATTGCGGCACGGGCCGTGTCGTTCCAAAGAGGCAATAACACTGTCTTGTTGCCCATCGTCATGATCTTGAAGTGTTGTTCTATGACGGACGCTGCCGCGTCGAAGCATGCTGTGCGCGAGTACGTATAACGAGAATCGGTCCCTGCCTTTCGTGCGAATGGCTCATGGAGCAGGACAAGGAATTGCCGGAGTTGGATGTCGAGAAGCATGCGCGTGATCTTCGCATCTTCTCGACCACTCCATGAGGGAATTCTCTCCAGCTCCACAACCACCTTCTCAGCGTATGCCATCGTTTCTTCATAAGTGAGTGGTGCTGCTGCATTGTTCAATGCCGAGTTGATCTCCACTCGTAACGCCATGCTCTTCGCCGAAACATAGAGATATGACGTCGCGGTGAATTCCTGAATGGGCCAAGGGGTTGGGGGCGCCTTTCGGGCTGTGTTATCAATGTCCTCATCATTCACATTCAGCGGCGGCGCCGTGTCGGTGAAAAGACCATGCGACGACGATGGCATACCGCGGTAGATGGAACACTGTAGCTCCGATTCGAGCATCGTCCACCAAAGACGACGTCTCATCTCTTGGTCGAAGATGCTCGTCTCTTTGATCAGCCAGTTCGGGTCACGATGCAAGCCTGTAGACAATCCGAAGGTGATCAAGTCTCTGGAATAGCCCCAGATCTCCTTCCACTTTATCGAGTTGACGCATTTGGTCTGCAGCAGGAGACACCGAATTTGATAGTGGCTCAGGTCGGCATGTTTTCGGCTCTGCATCGACAGCCAGCGATCGATGGCGTCAACCCACTCGACGGCTTTCTCGACCTGCACGGGCCGGTCTGCGCGATAGGTAGTGGGAAGCTCGAATGTTGCAGTGACGACTGTCGACAGGACTGCCAGCACAGTCACAGTGAACTCTGGTCGGCGTCTAGACGGATCGGACCAAAAACGGGAGTACTCATCCCAGAAGCTGGGAGCATGGAGTATCCTGTGGGTAGTCTCAAGAGTATCAAAGTAGTGCCGCACCAGGTGATCGACGTGTTCCTTGGGCGGGAGGAGAGCGTCAGCGTCCACGGTCTGGGTGGATAGCAGCTTGTGCTTCTTCCAACGGTCGCGAATCGCCTTTATCTCTGGCCGAGTCTGCATCAAAGCGGGGTACTGCTTGAATGTGGCCTGCATGAAGGAACGAAGACCTGGAAACTGCAGAAGTTAGAAGAGGAAAGGTAGACCGAGACGACCGAGCCAGGCAATTCTGCGAATGACAAAGCCGGTCACGGTCGGCGGTTCCGATTGCGCGGGGAGCATTGTGACGATGTTGGACGGGGCAGAAAGGGCATGCGACTTACATGTGTGATGACGACGCTGGTGATGTTACTCCTGCCGAAGTAGGCCGTCTTGAACGCCTTGCCTCGGAGGAGCATGGTCTCGCTCTCCTCGGCCTCGGCGCCGCGGCGGGCAGAGGTGGGATTGGGCCACAAGAGCTCGTCGCCAGCATGCTGGATTGCCTGGCCGTTGCCGTAGGGGTCTTTGGCCTTGCCTTCGAGCTGGGCGAGGCGGCTCTCAAGCTCGGAGATCTTCCTGCGTTGCACAGAGAGCAGATCCGAGCTCTCCCGGGAGCCGTGGTGGGCGGCGTCGGGGGCGACCGGGGCTCGAGGGACGGTGTTGGAGCTGGTCGGACTTAAGATGGCGGCTCGGTCCTCGTCGCTCTCCGGGACTGGGTGGTGGCCATTGCGAACGCCTGAGGGCGGCTCTGCGCGGGAGTCGTAGGAGCAAGTGTCTGCATGGCCGCCCTTGCGGCAGCGGCCACAGGCGGGATACTCGCGATCACACCGCAGCTTCCGGCGGCGGCAGTCGTAGCACGAAAGGGCTATGCGCCGGCGTTTCCGCACCTCAGTGGCCGTCTCGTCCGGAGAGTTGGAGCGGCGGCTGGAATTGGGCGTGTGGTGGGCCGGAGCATCAGACATTGGGGGCGGACGATCTGATAAAGCGCGAGGCTTGAGAAGGAGACACGAGAAGCAGCAGGACTCGTGGGGCTGGCTTGGGCCGGGAGCGAGCTCGGTCTTATCAGCTTCGTACTCGGACTTAGACGAGCAGGCCGAGGAGGGCGGGCGTGGGCGGGCGTCAGCGGCACGCGGGCGGCACGCGGGCTGCACGGGGGCCAGGAGGAAGGGCGAGGAGGAATCACGGCATTGGAAGAGTCGAGGGGATGGAAACGGCTGCCTTCGGCCACTGCTGATGTGGGAACAAGCTCATGAGTGCTGGGGAGAGCGATTAGTTTAGGCTTCTGACTAAGCGGGCAGGTGCACTGCACGCCGCAAGCGAGCGCAACACCAAAACATGCTCAGAGCCTCCGTCTTCTCGTCGCTGCCTGCAGCCGAACACGACGACGCGTCAGCCGCAACCCGAACTCGCCCGCCCAATGGATCGCCCGGCGCCAAAGTCGCTCTTCACGCGTAAGCGCGACCTGCTGTACCTCTCCTTCTTCGCCATCCATATTCCGATAGTCTTCTGTACGTCCCGCACGCTGCGCCCGCGCGCCGCGCCCGCCCCCGGACCGGCTGCCGCTGACGCGTGCTCCTCGAGGCGTTGACGTACTTCCCGTCTACCCGGAATCGATGAGGCCTGAGCCGCTACTGGCCCTGCGCCAGTGGTACATTGAAACCTACCAGGACCGCTTCTTCAGCGCTCCACCGTAAGTCTGCCGGTGCCCACGCTGCGCGCCGTTTGCCGGGCTGGGCCGGGCCGGGGCTGACGTCGAATTGTGCCCGTGTGAAGGCCGTGGTTCTCCATGTATATATGGATGGAGGTTAAGACAACCGCACTGCCAAGCTTTCTGATGTTGCGCTTACACGTGATTAGCTTCTGTACCACGCCCCACTCTCTGCCTGGGCGGTCGGGGCCCTGATGCGCGGTAAACATTCTTCTCTAAGCCAGACTGCCCCAGCTCACCCTACGTCAGATGACCCCAAGGTCCCCATCCACCTGCTCATCTACGCTTGCCAGACGGGCATCACCACCATGACCTGCATCGCCGAATACCTCAGCTGGGACTCGTTCACCAACGAGCAAAAGCTCAGTTTGAGCGGCCTCTACGTGCCCTATCTTGCACTTTGTGAGTGACACTCCCTCGCGTAAACGTGTCACACAGCATCGAGACATGGACTATTGGAAGTAGCTTCGATGCGAGGACGCGCAATGCACTAACGCACCACAGCTGTGTTCATGGGTGTCGACATGTTCCGACGGCTCGAAAAGCGATTGGCTCCGGGTGCCGCCACAGCCTCCGCAAAGAAGGCGCTGTAGGACTGTCGAAAAGACTCCACGTACACTCGTCGCCCAACGCATCTCTTCACAGCTAGGTCCACCTGTGTTTCTGCCGAGGTGAGTGCCTCTGCTATGTCAGAGGCTCAGGCAAGCGGATGAAAGGCGACAAAGCAACATGTTCATGTATGCCATTCGGTGGCCGCAAACGGATACGGATACCAGACTTTGCAACCTCTTCGGCACGATCGTTCTCAGGCTTCTGGGTCCAATGAACTAGAAGGACCATCATTTAGTGCGCATATACGCTCCAATAAACTCCACAAACCGGTGAAATTGTTGCGAGCGATGTTTATTGTTTCTGTGGTCAACTGGAGTGTGAGGGGGTTGGTCGTCTTCTGAGAGCGAGGTGCATAGACACTTACTGTATTTCAAGAAGACCGGCGTACAACACATTTGACTATCGGCGCGGTGCCAAGCGATGTGGCAACCGCATAGGTTCAAGGTTGACAGCAGGACGAAGTTCCATCCTATGGTGAGCGAGCTTGCAGACGAAACACCGGCGTCAAAAGCAACTTGGGCATGGCAAGTCGAGGCGGACATCATGGTAAGCGGAGGAGGTGGTAGATTGGACGTGCCGCAGGTTTGAGTCTGAAACATTTGCTTCATGCAGCTTCGGCATAAGGCTCTTCGCTTAATGCGGCACGTTCATGTTGTCCTGTTCGGGAAGCATCTTCGGAGAGCGAGATCGACCACGTCCGAAATAGTCTGCTCGAGAAAGGGGTTGGGTAGGTGAAGAAGCAGGAAAAAGAAAGAAACATTTAAGACAAGGGAGTGGTGCGGCGGTTCTAACAGAGAATAGGAGGGTGATCGTGAAGCACTCGTTATGTGGCCACCCAGACTTTCTCGACGCCGGTATGAGAAGAGTGCCGCGAACATCCCGACATTGCCGGCATAGACTGACTCCGTCCAGCTCGGAAATATCGTTACTACGCCATCACCGCTAGCTGCGATGACTCTGTGGATATACTCGCTGACATTGCTCTAGATGGACATCCATATCTCCTCAATCGGCGGCCAGCACTACCACTGCCACGCTTCTGGTCTTCTGGGGACGAATAAACTACTTATGTAGGTAGTACATACAATCCGATGTGTGGACGTATTCTTCCACCCCTGGCTGTGCTTTGAGTGGACGTGCCGGTGGATCGCGCCGACTAAGGAGATAATGTGTACATCACGTCAACCATGCTTTGAGCGCAACTTTCGCACGTAGGAATCCCGAACCCCTCGTCCCTGAAAGTATGGTCCCAGGGCCCAAGGCCCTAGGCCCAAGTGCATGTTCTGTACACACCGTCGGTTTTGCGAAATTGACATCCGGAGGTCGATGTGGGACCTGGACTGCAGAGAAACCCAGGCGTAGGATTCAGCTACTCAGGGGAGTGTCGTGCTATGTACGGTACATGAACATCTCGGGCGAGACAGTGTTGGGAAGGCCAAGTTCTCTTCCGACCTGCTGTGACATGGCTGTGCACTTTGTCACGTCATTTGTCTTTCCCCGTTCACACCGACGCAATGATCTCACGGCATGGATACCCTTGATGAAGTTTAGTTCAGGTGAGAATTTGCGGGGATTGAGAAGTCGTCATTACCGCCACCGAAGAGCAACAACGGGAAACCACGTTCCCAAAGTAGGCAGAGCCGAAGTGAATCTCAGAGTTTTGTGGGTGGGCTGAGCTATTCCAGGAGCTTATTAGGCCAAGACGCGTGGCACCGCTCCATTCATGGATGTGAGTACGCATTGACGGCTCGCAACGCAATCGGATTTGGGGTTTAGCGTTACCCTTGGGGAGAGGAAGCCGTAAAGGGATACAGACATGTCACTATACATACACCAACATCCTGGTGCTATTTTCTCGCCACGGGCCCCACTGCATGGTCTCGACCGGTCACACGGCACCGCCTCCTTCACGATGGATTGCAGGTTTGGAGACCCACACTTTCATCTGTATACCTGGTGATTGCGGGGACCAGGTATGCTGTTTAAGGTTATCGCAGATGAATGACTCGAGAAGCCGCGGCAACGACGCCCGCCCGTTGTGGCTGGCAATATAGAGTTGATGCACGGGCAATGGATGGCGACGCTAGAGGACAGCGCCGGTATGGAACCCTTCGTGATGAATTGAAGTGGACGACTAGCCCGACAGCAGCGAAACGCGGAGGCGGAAGGGAGCATGTTCTGGTGGTGTTCGTCGTGGAAACACGCGGCGGGGAAGCGGACCGCGTAAGGCTCAGCCGAATGCATCGCAAACCGGGTTAATTTCGCACTTCTTCAGGTGGGTGATGTCAAGAGCTGAGTGGCCCGACGGGCGGCGGCAAAGGGAGTCTGAGGGCCAGTCGCGGTGCAGCCGTCGCGGCGGCCATCCCATCATCTTACTTGGCTACCCCGGTCTGCAAGCCTCCCGCAAGCCTCGGCCCAGACTGGTATCGGGCCCGTCTTCGGACGTTTAGGGCGGTCAGGCGTGCCGAAGCTGCGCGTTGCCCGCGGCGGGTTGCTATAAACGGGTAGTCGGAGTTCGGCGGAGGACCGCGTGGTTCTGGAATGGGCTTCATCAGCAGCAGCAAGCGAGGAGGCCCGCCTCCTTTTGCGCAGGCGGTGGGCATGGGCGTGGGCTTGGGCGTGGGCTTGGGCGTGGGCACGGCTTGGCGGGTGGGCCTGGTGGTGCAGACGAGCGGTGGGCGGCGGGTGAAACAAACAATCAGTCTCGAACGAGAGTGGCCTGCGCGCGTGGGCAAGCAGCCGCGCGTGAAACGGCCTAAGCCGCATGCGGCAACCGTTCCTGCCCGGGCCGACCTCTCAAACCGCTCAAACCTCGCCCGCCCCTTCGTCATTACGCGACAACAGCCACTCACACCCAACAGTTGCATGATGCCGCATAGCGCTGCCAAGCCACTCGCCATCCCCGGATCCCGCGCCCGTGCCGCCCGGCTGCCAGTGGGAGCGCCACCGCGAGACGTCCGCCACTCCTCAGGCACGTGAAGACCACAGCGCCTATTCTGCATCCACCTCAGCGCTTCCGAAGCGGGCATACTCCCGGCCAGCTCCCTCGCCGTCCGGCTCGGCCACCCTGCCCGGCGCTTTCCGCCTGGCTGTTTCTTCCCTGCCTCGCATCCCAGCCTATAGTGGGGACCGATGCTCGCCAGCATCAGGAACACCCGCTTGCCGGCGATCCTGGCCGCCGCCCGGAACCGCTCGACGGACTGCTTCTGGATCATGCTACCGCCAGGATTGCTGCCGCCAGCCACGGCTTCAGGCACTCCCCACTTTCGTATATATGGCCGCGTCGCCGGCCTCTGTCCGCCTTCCTCAACCTTCACTGCACTCTTTCTGCTCTTGGTAACCTCTTCGAGGCCCATTCATTCTTTTTGCTTGACGCTCTTTTTGCTTGCTTGCATACAGGCTGTGCCTTTCGTTCTTTCTGACTTCCAGCCTGACTCGGCCACTAGCACCAGTAGCATCATACCATTCGTTCTCTTTTCGTGATGAAGGTCACGACTGCTCTGGCCGTCCTCGGCTCCCTCGGGGCCGCGGCTGGACGTAAGTGCCAAAGTGCTTCCTCTTCTCGTGCTTCCACGCTCACACAGCCTGTCCAGGTAACATCCCCCGCCAGGATGTTGTGACGACCGCCATTGTCTACTCCACCCAGCTCTACACAGTGACCTCGTGCGACTCGACAGTGACCAACTGCCCCGCGTCCGCCACCCAGGTGTCGACTTCCCTGGTACCTCACCACACCACCACCATCACCGGTGCCCAAGTTTCGGCGACCGAGGAGTCCACTCCTGTTGCCTCCTCTTCCGAAGTGGTTGAGAGTGCGATTCCCTCGTCGCCCGCTGGTCCGGACTACGAGACTCCTTCCTCTGCCGTTGAGACGCCGGTTGAGAGCACACCCGTGCAGACATCCGACGTGTCTGGCGAGACGGCCTCTTCGGTTCCCACCCCCGAGGTCCCGGCCTCCACCCCGGTGGCTTCTGTTCCCCTCAGCAGCGATGTCAGTGGTGAAACCGTTTCCACTCCGGAGGCTCCGGTCTACACTCCTGTCCAGACGCCCGAAGCCCCGGTCCCCACTACCGGTTCGGCCCCTGTGAGCCCCCCTTCGGTTTCTGAGGCCGCCACTCCGTCCACCCCCGTGGCCCCGTCCGTTGTGCCCACGCCTTCTTCGGCCTCCACCCCCGTGGCGCCGGCGTCTTCGGACGTGAGCGGTGGCGTGCCCACTCCTCTGTCTCCTCCCGTTGTCGGCACCCCCATCACTCCGGCCGGAACTCCCATCTTCACGCCGGTTGCGAATGCTTCCACGACGCACATCATCCAGGATGTGACCTCCGTCGTCTACAGCACTCAGTACTACACCGTCACCTCGTGCGCTCCTGAGGTCACGAACTGCCCCGCATCCAGCGGTGATGTCTCCGCCGTTTCCGAGTCCCTGGTGCCCGTCTCGACCACCACCTACCAGACGACTGTCCCCGCTACCCACGGTGTCAGCAAGTCCACTGTCTATGCCACTCAGTTGATCACCGTCACCTCGTGCGCTCCCGAAGTCACCAACTGCCCCGCCAGCTCCACCGCTGTGCAGACTACTCTGGTGCCTGCTTCGACCACGGACATCACCACTTTGATCCCCGTCACTGAGGAGTCCACGCCGCAGCTCTCATCGGGCGTCGAGGGTGTCGTCAGCACCCCGTCCGCCTCTGCTCCTCAGACCACTGAGTACCAGACCAGCACCGTCTTCAGCACCAACTTCGAGACTGTCGTCACTGGCGGCAGCACCTCCGTGGTGACCTCCGTCGTTGCCGTGTCCACTACGGTCTGCCCTCTTACCGAGACCAAGACCATCAGGACCTCGAAGCCCAGCGGAACTGCCCCGGCCGTTTCTGGCGAGATTTCCAGCGCCGTTGCCATCCCTTCGACCAGCACTGCGCCCAACGGCGAGACTGTTGTCCTGACCGTCACGCAAACTCCCAGCGCCCCTGTCTCGTCTGGTGTTGAAGGCGCCAGCTCCGCCCCTGGCGTTCCCGTTGGCGAGACGGAGACCCCCAGCGCCGTCGCTACGCCCTCGACCAGCACTGCGCCCAATGGCGAGACTGTTGTCCTGACCGTTACCCAGACCCCCAGCGCACCCGTGTCGTCGGCTGTCGAAGGCGCCACTTCTGCGCCTGGCGTTCCTGTCAGCGAGACCGACGAGACCACCAGTGTCGTTGCCATTCCTTCGACCAGCACTGCTCCTAACGGCCAGACTGTCGTTGTCACCGTCACTCAGACCCCAAGCGCCCCTGCTTCGTCCAACGTCTCGGGCGAAGTCAGCACTCCCGGTGTCCCCGTCGGTGAGACTGGTGAGACCACCAGTGTTATCGCTGTTCCTTCGACCAGCACTGCTCCCAATGGCCAGACCGTCGTTGTCACCGTCACTCAGACCCCAAGCGCCCCTGCCTCGTCCAACGTCTCGGGCGAAGTCAGCACTCCCGGTGTCCCCGTCGGTGAGACCGGTGAGACCACCAGTGTTATCGCTATTCCTTCGACCAGCACTGCTCCCAATGGCCAGACCGTCGTTGTCACTGTTACCCAAACTCCCAGTGCTCCTGCTTCCAGTGTACCTGGTGTCCCCGTTGGTGGCTTCAACCAGACTGTTAGCGTCGTTGCCACTCCTTCGACCAGCACTGCCCCTAACGGCGAGACTGTTGTTGTCACTTTCACGCAGACTCCCAGTGCGCCCGTCTCCTCAGGTGTCTCTGGCGAAGTGAGCACTCCTGGCGTACCTGTCGGTGGCTTCAACCAGACCGTCACCGCGGTCACTGTTACTGCTTCTTCGACTTCGACCATCTACAGCACTGCTACCAGCACCGCTGTGACAACCGATGCTCAGGGATCCACTTCCCAAGTTGTTGTTACCCAGGTCATTTCCATTGGCACGACCATTTGCCCTGTCACCGCCACTCAAACTCCTGAGGCATCGGCCCCGGTTTCTCAGCCCGTTGGCACTCCTTCCGCCCCTGCTTCGTCTGGCGTGGAGGGCGTTACTTCTGCTCCTACCCCTGTCCTGACGACGCTCTCTTCGACCTCCACGATCTACAGCACCGCTGTTAGCACCGTTGAGACTACTGATGCTCAGGGATCGACTTCCCAGGCCATCGTTACCCAGGTCGTGTCTATTGGTACGACCATTTGCCCCGTCACCGCCACTGAGACGCCTTCTGCGCCCGTCTCGTCTGGAGTTGAAGGCGCTACGTCCGCTCCCGGTGTACCTGTCGGCGGCGAGAGTGCCAGCGAGCTTCCCACGCCTTCTACCTCCACTGCTCCCAACGGCCAGACTGTCGTCGTGACTGTGACGCCTAGCGTCTCGCAGCCCGCTGTCTCGGATGCGAGTGCTGTGCCCACCCCGGAAACCTCTACGAAGCCGAACGGCGAGACTGTTATTGTCACCGTGACGCCCAGCGCGGCTGTGAGCAGCGACGTTTCCGGTGAAGTCAGCACTCCCGTCATTGCTACGCCCTCGACTAGCACTTCGACCAGCACTGCTCCCAACGGCGAGACTGTTGTTGTTACCGTCACTCAGACTCCTAGTGCTCCCGTCTCTTCCGACGTTTCCGGTCAAGTTAGCACGCCCGTTGTCGGTGCGGTGACGACCACTGTCTCTGAGCAGAACCTTGTCACGGTCACCATCACGATTACTCCTACGGCGCCTGGTGGCAGCACTCTGCCCCCGACCGTTGTCACCCACACTGAGACTGCCACTCCCACCCCGTCCACCCCGGTGGCCGGCGAGACTTCTGATGTTTCCGGAGAGGCGTCGACTTCGGCGACCCAGAACATTGTCACGGCCACTTTCACGGTTACGCCTACCGCAGCTGATGGAACTGCCCTGCCGCCCAACGTCGTTACTACCACGGTGACCGCTGAGTACACCCCCTCGACCCCCACCGCGCCGGTCAGCGCCGAGTCCACCGCTGTGTCGACTAGCACCGCCCCCAACGGCCAGACTGTCGTTGTTACCGTTACTCAAGTTCCCACGCCTGTCGCTAGCAGCGCTGTGGAAGGCAGTGTGTCCAGCTCGGCTGCTCAGCCGCCGGCTGGCAACGAGACGGTCTACGTCACCTACACGGCTCCTAACGGACAGGCCAGCATTTCCACCTCGGTCGTCTCCACTCCCGCCGCCGTCACCCCTCTGACCGTCACCTCTTCCTCGACCTCGACCATCTTCAGCACTGCCATCAGCACTGCCGTCAGCACTGATGCGCAGGGCTCGACTTCTGAGGTTGTTGTCACTCAGATCGTGTCCATTGGCACGACCATCTGCCCCGTGACCGCCACCCAAACCCCTGCCTCATCTGGTGCTGAAGGCGTCACTGAGGCCGCCATTACCTCTTCGTCGACCTCGACTATCTACAGCACTGCCATTAGCACCGCTACGACTACTGATCAGGCTGGTTCGACTTCTGAGGTTGTTGTCACTCAGATCGTGTCCGTTGGCACCACCATCTGCCCCGTGACCGCCACCCAGACTCCCGCATCGACTGATGTTGAGGGTGCTACCGCCGCTCCCTCGCAGCCCACCGGCCCCGCTGGCAGCTTCACGACCATTTTCTACACCGTCACTGGCGCGAACGACCAGGGTGTTCCCGTGACGAGCATTGCCTCCAGCGTTGTTCCTGCCAGTACTTCTCGTGCTGTTGTGCCCCCGGTGTACGGCAACCAGACTCTCTCTGTCCCGCCGCACCCGATCCAGACGCCCGCGCAGCCCGCGAACGTTACTGTTCTCGTTACTTTCACGCCCTCGGCTCCCGTTGGCACTCCCGTTGCTCCCAGCGTTTTGACCACCATCATCACCCCCGGCGCGCTTAACACTAGCCTTTCCATGGCTCCCACCCCGACTGTGCTGCCGACCATCCCGTTGTTCACGTCCGCGGGCGTTGACGGTGTCGCCTCCACGCCTGTCGCGCCCCTCACTCCCGGCGCCGGTTTGACGACCTCGACCGTCTATACCCTTGACTTCCAGACGAGCACGCACACCCACGAGAGCGGCACCTCCACCGTTGTTGTCACCTCAGTCGTGCCTGCCTACGTCACCATCTGCCCGGTAAGCATCCAACCGCTTTGACACCCGGGCATGAGCCTCGGATTCGAAGATCTCCCAGTTTTCAATGTGCATTGATTATACTAACAAATGGTTTCAGGTCACTGCTACCGAGACTCCCGCCGCGGCCACTCCCACCACTCTTGTCACTGCCAAGCGTAGGGCCGCTCTTCCGTCCGCCCCGGTTTCGGCCGCCTCTGTCGAGAGCGCCTCGTCCTCGTCGTCTTCCGACGAGACGTCCGATTCCACTTGGGACAAGATCGTCAAGTTCTTCGTCGGCGGCCGCGAGTAAACCAGAAAGCTCGAGCTTTTTCCGACGACCCCGCCGCTAAACAGTCGAAACATGTGCACATGTGTAAGACATGCGCATGAAATTCGCATCTCCGACGTGCATTCGTAAAAAACGCCACATTCTCCACCATGATCGGGTTTCGCGGCAGGATTCGTAAGCGGTGGGCGGTGGATACCCTCAGGGGCCAGCTCCTGGGCTCTCCTACCCCTCATTACGCAATTGTCGACCGACCTACCCCTTTCGGTGATGGTCCGTGCGGATTGTGCGTGTGCACGGAGGGGGAGGGGTCTCTTCGTTTATTGTGAAACTTGAGTGAAACAAATGCAGCACTTTTCAAATCCTTCATACTTCATCCTCATCATCGTCCATCATCATCAACAAGTACGCGGAAACTACATTGGGCTGGGCCCCGTGTTCCCAAACGATTAGGACAAGCGGTGTGATCTCCAAAAAAAAAAGAAAACTTACTTCATCAGACCGCACGTTCGTCTTCACCATTCATCCCGTCAGCTTGCCACTGGCACGTGCATTGTGTCGAGTAGCTTTCGTGGAACACGCTATGCTGGAGTCAAGTCGGTTTGCTGCTGTTTTTTTGCTTTCACTTCTTGACGATGAGATGCTTGCACGCTTCTTTTTTTCTTCTTCTTCGAACCTTCTTGTATATATGGCTGTTTCCCGCATCATAGGCGGAAAATAGAACGGAAACTCCAAGCGCGGCTTTTCTCTCTCACGTGAATCATTGACCGCACACCACAGTGAGCGACGAAAGAATTGATCTGCCTACATACGTAACGGAACCCTTCATCTTGATGCATCTACGTGGTTTGAATCCTCGCATACATAGAAATCATAGCGTTAGATCGTTGCATATGCTGAGGAGCCCGGCAATGAAGTCGTCGTACAGCTTTGCGTCCGAAATTTGCAATGATTTGACTTCTCAGACGAATGCGTTGTATAAAGCCCCCACAGCATCATCGTACATTACAAAACCGCCAATCAGTTCGACGCTGCCACCTGGTCCTGCGCTGCCACTTGGTTCTGCGTTGTCACTTGGTTCTGGAATACTGGATGGGTGTACAGAATGTCTCCGATCAGCCTCGATGTGATTTTCTTCCTGCCGTCATCGCTGTACCTCACTTCCATATCTTCTTCCCAGCCCTCCTCATCGATGAAGTCCTTGACCTGCACCTCGATGCCCTGGTTCTCCAACGCCTCTTTCACATCCTTCAACAACGGGAAGTCGTTCTCGTCGACAACGACCAGCTTCACGAACCGGAGGTTCGGCAGCCTCTCGGCACAATGCTTGGCGAACTCATCCAGAAAGGGCAAAAGGAAGGTGACGTCCTCCTCCAGGCCCATGCAATCGACGGTCAAGCGCTTCAGGCAGGGCGGGAAGACGTCGGTGAGAGCGTTGTAGTCGAAATCGTAGAGGAAGCCCGGCCAGTGCTCGCCGTCAAAGTGGTCCCAGTCGAGCAGGGGCGAGCCGAGCAGCAGGTGGCCGGGAACCTCGAGCTCGGTGAGGCGGGTAAAGTCCTTGAAGGAGCCGAGGGGCGGCAGGTACTCGTCCTCGACGGCGAAGCACTCGAACACGTTGGCCTTGAGCACAACGTCGAGCCGGATCGTCTCGAGCGTGTGGCGGCGCAGGCGCAGGGCGCGCATGAAGCCGGTCAAGTCCATCATCGAGTCGGCCTCCGGCATGCTGCCCCAGCTGTAGATGAAGGTTTTGGGGGATCGGCAGGCGGTGAGAAGTTTGCGGATAAAGTCGTTCGAGACGGACGAGGCGTCGAGGTCGATGGTTGTGATGTTGGAACTGTTCTCTTCCGGCTCCCACTGGATGCCACACCCGGTTTCACCGGACCATGCTGACTTGATGGCGATTTCTTTGAGGTGTGGCAACGTGACAAAGTCGGAGATGAAGACGGGGTTGTAGCCATACTCCACGCCACCGTAGCCTATTTCTATTGTCTTGATATTTGCAAAGGGCCCGCCAGGGCCGTTCTGCGACATGGTGAAGGAGCTTTGGCGTAGTAAGCGGAACATCCAGTTATAGTCCTCGACAAACTTTTCGTCTAGGCAGAAGTTCAGGTAAGTCAGGTTTGGCATGAAGTTCAGAGCCAGGGCGATTTGGGCCTCGCAGCGGCCTGTCCGCAATGCTCCGATGAACGACCGGCCCATCTCGATGTCGACATGGCGAGCGGCTTCTATGAGTTCCGGGTAGCGCTGGGCAAGCCCTCTTCTGGGGGGGTCAAACTCGTGTCTCAGGTGCACCTCCCTTACGGCTCCTGCGAGATCCTTTCGGCAGATCAGGGTACGCAATAAATCCATTCGTCTGTTCGTGTGATTCAAGCAGTTGACGACCTCATATAGGAGCGGCTGAGCAACACGACACAAGTTCCGACACGTCTGGGAGATGCTCCGCAGGGCATCGCAGCGCTTTTGGAATAGCACCAGCCTACCTTCGTACCCGGAGACCTGCTCTTCGAGCGGGCCGTAGAGGAAACGGGCCAGGCGGAAATGCTGAAAAACCAGCAGGAGCAGTTCATCAGGAAGGTCGGCGAGCGACGTCTCCTTGCGAGTTGAGATTGCTGCAGAGTCATTCCTTGGCTTCGGGTTGGCGCCTGGTGGCCGTCGAGATCGGCGCGGTGCGGCTCTCTCCATAAGCGCGCGTTTCCTGGCACCGTCTTGCAACCTTGTGGAGGCACGCCGCTTGGGAGGCATGGTTTGCCGTGTTGCTGGCGGAAGATGACTGAAAGCGAGCGCCCGACGGGTTCCTGCGCGAGGCGGTTCAAAAGTGTCAGGAACGCGGCGGCGCGAAAAGCGCAGTGCAAACGGGGTCGCGCACGGGCCATCTCCAGGCAGCTCTCCCAGCGTTGCTTGCCTCAACTTCTCAACCACCTCACACTCGCCTCATGTAAAACCACGAACCCCGCAGGACCCCCTATGCGGTCGAAAGTCCTCCGTATTTTGCCTTATCCCACCGGACGATGTCGAACTCAACGCCCGAACATTCCGCCAAATCACGTATCCGTCCGAGAGCCTCCTCAAAGTCGCCGAGACGGGGTATGTCTCCCACCCTGAGAAGCTCCAAACGGCGGAATCTCGGCAGGCTGGTCACACGGCGGGCAAGAGCAAGCAAAAACTGTGCTTTCAAGGCAGTCAAGGGCTCGGTGGACACCGAAAAGTCGCATTGAATGACCATGCTCTCCAGAGAGGCGGGCAGAATGTCCACCAACTCGGAATGGTCGGGCGCGGGAGCCGGCACGGGGGCATCTGCGCCGAAGTCGTTATCCAACATGTCGGCCAGCCCGGAAATGATGGGTTCGGAAATCTCAAGATGCCTCAGCTTGGCAAATGCTTTGAAGGATCCGAATCGGGGGACGATGAAGCTTCGCCGAGCTATTTGCCTGAAGGCTGTGCATCGATCCGAGACTAGGAGCGAGAAGTGCTCCAGCGTGTCCTTCCGCGTGTGGAGAGCGTTGTAAAAGTCTTGCATTTGCGCATACGGGATAAACGCTGCTAAGAAGTTGCCATATGTGTAGCGAAACGCCTTTAACTGCACGAAGGCGTTCAACGCACACTCGACGAATGCATTCCCCGGCAAAGAATCCCAGAAGGCGAGTGTTTCGATGCGGCTGTTGGTCTGCAAAGAGAGAGGGCGGTCGCCATCTCTTTCATCGAGCCAAACTGCAGACATCTCTATCGTCTTCAGTGAAGGCAGGCCCACGAAATCTTGGATGAAAAGAGGGTGGAACCCGGACGCGTTTTCGTTCCCGTACTTCGGCCTGAGATGACGCAGCGACGCAAGCGGGCCGGACTTGTTCTCCACCGCTCGCCTGGCCAGGCACAAAAACCACTTCCAGGTATGGAACCATGTCTCATCGACCTCAAACTCCAGTGTCTCCAGGCTCGGAAGCTGGCTGAACAGCAGCGCGACGTCGGCGTCGTTGAAGCTTTCCAGCAAAGCCTTCTGGAACGAGGCGCGCTCTCGCTCATCGCCATCAATGTCGACGCGTTTGGCGGCTTCAAGGACTTCGGTATACTCTGCCGGGACTCCCGACCTGTTGAGAGTACCGTGCCAGTCGAAGTACGAAAAGCGGACTTCCTTTACCATGGCTGCCAGGTCGGGGCGTTTGACAGCCGTCCGGAGGAATTGCCTCCGGCGAGTAGCATCGGCGCCATCGACCAAGGCGCTGTACAGAACCTGGTTGGCGACGCGATAGAGCCTGCGGGAGACGAGAGCAACACTGTGGAGGGTACGGACTCGAGACTCGATCTCAGCGCCTCCTGCCCAGGTCTTGAAGTCGATGTCCCAACGGTTGCGGACGGAGATGTAATCCAAGATGTCGAGCAGAAGCTCGTCAGCAAGATCCTCTAGAGTAGCAGGCATAGCGTCCGGTCTCGATGGGCAAGTCGGGGTTGGTGAGGAAGTGCGAAGTGGCGGAAAGGTCGAGGTGATGGCATGGAGGGTTTCCCCATATTTAAGTTGAAATGGCTGCTGCCTGTCGTTGCTATCGTGGCTTTGCGTTGCACAGACCCGATGCCGGTGGCATAGCGCTTACATTGTCGCATTGTCTCACCTCACTACTGTGCAGACAGGTACGTACGAAATCTGGCCTCCCCCATTATAGGCGCATACAAGGCTAAGCGCATTTCGGGTAAGCCGAAGCGCTGCGCATCTTTTCTTTCCCGGAGAGGCACTGCATGGCACTGCATGGCCCCCATCCTGGCTCCACAATCCCCGCGCCAATCTTCCCCGGCGACAGCAGCGCTACCCGAACATGGTAACGGCCAAGCCCATCCACCAGCCCTTCCCCCTCACTGCGTCGTGCAGCTGACGTGCATCCCGCAGGTCTGACTTTCTACGTACTTATAAATGCACCCCAGTGACAAGCCCCCCCGCAATCACCAGAGAACCACACACCCTTCAATCGTTGTGGCAATGACGTCGACTGACGACAGCACCAGCACCTCGGCCTCGGCCGGGGATGCGCACAGACCCGGACGACCACGGCCATCAACACCAACGACGGCGCACCTCTGCCTCCTCCGCATCCCCGAGCTCGCCGAGCTGGTCTTCCAGCACCTCCCGCCGCGCGACCTCCTCCTCGCGCAGCGCGTGTGCCGCACCTTCCATGCCACCATCCGCTCCTCGCCCGCCCTGCAGCAACGCCTCTTCTTCTCCCCGGCGAAAAGGTCGACGAAGCGGCCCTGCAAGCTGCCTCGCCGCCGCCGCGACGACGACGACGACGAAGATGGAGAAGAAGAAGAAGAAGAAGCGTGGGAACTGAACCCGCTCCTCGCCGCCGCCTTCCCGCCGTGGTTCCGCCCGCGCTACGTCAAGTCGCGGTGGGACTGGCCGATGGCGCGGTCCTTCGCCGAGGACCTGCCGTGGGCGGACGACGAGCGCAGGGTGCGCGCCTTCATGCGCCCGCACGCGAGCTGGCGCCGCATGCTGGTGACGCAGCCGCCGCTGAGGGACGTGCAGATGCTCGTCAAGTGCGATCACGTCCGCAACCTGGTGAGCGACGATTACGTGCGTTTTGTCGGCGGGCGGCGGGCTGCGGCGCCGCGTCGTGGCGAAGACGCGGGGGAGGGGCTGCAGGCCGGCGACGGCGCGTTCGGCGAGCTTTTGGAGGACGCGCCGGGCGTGACGATGGGCTTTTTGTACGACGTCACGCAGGACTTTGTGCTGGGGAGGCACGTCGTCAGCAATTTCTTCATCCAGTGGCGGCCCTTCTTGCCGCCGGACACGCGCGGCTACGTGTCGGATGAGGACGATGAGGACGATGGGTTTGTCGACGAGCCGGATGATGTGTGCGGCTTCGGGACGCCGAGCTGGTGAGTGAGCTGTGGGCTGAGCCTTCTTCTTCTTCTGACAGGACCGCTGAGTACTTGTCGTGGACACCAGGAGACGGAGAGACGAGGAGCCCCGTGACATGCTCGCAATTCATTTGAGCTATACCGCTCAACGTGACGCAACATTCCTCCCCACCCAGATGCCACAGTTGAGGAGCAAAGGGTACCGGGAGAATCGAACCTACCGGAAGCTCCTGGATACATGTGCGCGTTTCGTTGCTTCAGAGGGATCTATGGAGGGTCAGCCCACCGACTTTTATGAAACCTGCGCATTCGAGCACCGCCGGCACGGCGATACAATGCTGACCTGGAACATGGCCAGCCTTGATGGCTCGAAATTCGCACAGTTCCCCTGGACGTATAACGCGCAGCTGAACTACCGCGGCGAGACTTGGAAGTGAAGTGTCACAGTGGCTTCACGACAGAAATTGACCTGTGGTAGTTGAAGCAAGCATCCCGACGTACATGTCGGTTCACACTGCCTTTCTTCATTGGTATCTGGAGCATATATCGAGACGTCTATGAGGATTAATGCCGTCCAGATGCATCCAGATATGAAATTTCGCTTCCCACATAGGTGGGTCAGTCTTTTCTACCAGTACACAATGATAGTCTATTTAACATGGCCTGCTATACTTATATCATATCACCCGCACCGTAGAGCCGAGGCCACCACCTAGGTGGCCCACCGCTTGCTCAGTTTGTGAGATAGAAGCAGGTGGGCCAATGGTACTCCTTCTGATACAGTGTAATCCAAATCCTTGCCAGCGTGTTGAACGCGCTTTGCTCCTCTCTCTCTCTAGAATTTCCCCTACCCTTCTCCAAACGCCTGTTGAAACCCGACGCCAAAGAAAAAGAAAAAAGAAACACGCTCAAACCCTCCAAATAGCATCCGCCATCCTCACCGTCTCAACCATCTGCGGCACATCATGCACGCGCACCACATCCGCCCCCCCTTGCACCGCCGCCGCCACCGTCGCCGCCGTCCCCATGACCCTCTCCCGCGGCTCCTCCACGCCCGTCACCCTGCCCACAAACCCCTTCCGACTCGTGCCGACCAGCCACGGCAAGCCCCCGAACGCCGGCTCCGTGCGCAGCTCGCCCAGCCGCCGCAGCAGCTCGAGGTTCTGGTCCAGCGTCTTGGCGAAGCCCACGCCCGGGTCCAGCACGATGCGCCAGCGGCGCACGCCCGCGGCTTCGGCGGCGCGCACGCGCGCCGCCAGCTCGTCGGCGACGCCGCGCAGCACCCCTTGCGGGTAGTTCGTCAGCTTCGCCATCGTGTCGGGCGCGCCCCGCATGTGCATGAGGCAGACGCTGGCGCCGAGCGCCGCGACCGTCGGCAGCAGCAAGGGGTCGAGCGCCCCCGCCGACACGTCGTTGATCACGTGCGCGCCGGCGGCGACGCAGGCGGACGCGACCGACGCCCGGTACGTGTCGATGCTGATGGCGACGTGGGCGGCTTCGGGGAGGGACCGCGCGAGGCGGACGGCGGGGAGGATGCGGGCGAGTTCTTCGGCGGGGGGGACTTGGGGCGCGTTGGGCCGCGTGGATTGGCCGCCGATGTCGATGATGGTGGCGCCGGCGGAGATGTGGGCGAGGAGGGTGCGCTTGATGGCGGCGAGGTGGGCGGGCGAGTTGACGGGCTCCGATGGGGAGAGGAGGTGGGCGCCGCCGTCGGAGAAGGAGTCCGGGGTCAGGTTGAGGATGGACATGACGTGCGTGCGGCGGGAGCTGTGGAGGGCGCGGATGGCCGGCATGGTCGGCGTGAGGGGCGTCATGGTGGAGAGGGGGGGGTCGGACGGCGGGAGGCGGGCGAGGTGGGCTTGCAGGGAGTCTGGCCCGGTGTTGGGGAGGACGGCGTCGGGGATCATCTCGCACAGGGGCCGGAGGACGAACTCGCGCTCCAGCATGAGCTTGTGGGGGACGGAGAGCCGTTCTGTTTCGATGACGTCGTTGTCGTAGAGCAGGATGTCCAGGTCGATGTTGCGAGGCCCTTTCTCGACGACCTTCACCCGGCCGAGCTCGTTCTCGATGCTTTGCAGCCTGTCAAGCAGGCCTATGGGGCTGAGAGAAGTTGCAATCTATGGAGTGTCAGCAGCGGGCTTGCCATCCATCACAGACCAAATAACGAGTCACAAAGCATTGAAGAAGTATCGTAAGAAGGAAGATGGCACTGACCTCGCAGGCACCGTTCACAAAGCTCCCCTGGTCTTCTACATACATGGGCTTTGTCTCCCACAAGCAGCTCGTGCGCAGGATTCGAACATCGCCTTTGCTTTCCATAGCATTGCAGGCTTGTTCGATCATGGCTATCCGGTCACCCAGATTGCTCCCGAGGGCGACGAAAGCACGGTGTCCAAGAGGACCATGGCGCGGCTTCTCAGCCTCGCTGGAGAGGCCGCGCCGGCCAAGCTGGCTTCCCAATAGGGGCATTTGACACGGCCGCGCAGTTCGTGCCGGTGGGTTAGGGGTCGGTGGTGCGGGAGCAAGTGCAGGTGGCCTGGAAAGGGCGGGGATCCTGTAGAGCCGAGCAGGAGCACTAATACATGCCGACACAGGACGTTGTCGACGCGTCAGGACACGAGCCAGGGAAGGAGATTGGCGAGACGGCGCGAAGGGCCGCACGACCTGGTGCATGATTAAAGCCTGAGGATGGGTGGCGAGGGCGGCCACGAAAAAAAAAAAAGCGGCTGAGTAAGGCAAATCCGGGGTAGGGCTTGGCGTGAGATGTGGCGCCAGGTGGGGACCGGGCGGGCCCTCGGCCCAGCGACGGTGCCAGGAGCTTGCCCGCCCTTTGAACGCACCACCCGTGCCACCCACACGCATGAGAGCCGAGGCACGCAACCCGCCCATGGCTGCAACCAGCTGCTACGGCCGAGGGTTCACCACCTCCATAAACCTCCTCCGTCTCCACTACATCCGCACTCCACACCCTCCTCCCTGAGCTCCCACGTCTCCCACGGCTCTCGCACCCTCCACAGCACCGTCAACATGGCGTCTCCACGTACGTTTTCTCCTCTGTCGGCTTTCACATGTCATGCGCTCTGCCCGCACACTTCCCCGAGACTGACAGCCCCTGCCCGCAACAGAGCAGCTCCGCACCACGACGACCGATCTGCTCAAGATCAACCACCCCGTCCTCCTGGCCGGCATGAACGTCGCCGCTGGCCCCAAGCTGGCCGCCGCCGTCACCAACGCCGGCGGCTTGGGTGTCATCGGCGGCGTGGGATACACCCCGGACATGCTGAGGGAGCAGATCGCGGAGCTCAAGAGCTACCTGAAGGACAAGAACGCCCCTTTCGGCGTCGACCTGCTGCTGCCGCAGGTCGGGGGCAGCGCGCGCAAGACCAAGTGACCCCCCCCCCCCGCCACGGTGCCGCGGCCGGGGAAGAGGCCGCGATTACTATACAGCGTCAGCTGACCGTCTGTCTTTGTGCCGCAGCTACGACTACACCAAGGGTAAGCTCGACGAGCTTGTCAGCATCATCATCGACAGCGGCGCCAAGCTGTTCGTCTCGGCCGTCGGCGTCCCGCCCAAGCACGTCGTCGAGCGCCTCCACAAGGCCGGCATCCTCTACATGAACATGATCGGCCACCCCAAGCACGTCCAGAAGTGCCTGGACCTCGGCGTCGACCTCATCTGCGCCCAGGGCGGCGAGGGCGGCGGCCACACGGGCGACGTGCCGACCACCATCCTGATCCCCACGGTCGCCAAGCTGTGCGAGGGCAAGACGTCGCCCATGACGGGCGCCCCCGTCCAGGTGGTCGCCGCCGGCGGCATCTTCAACGGCCAGACGGTGGCGGCGGCCTTGATGCTGGGCGCGTCGGCCGTGTGGGTCGGCACGCGCTTCATCCTCGCCGACGAGGCGGGCGCGCCCAAGGCCCACCAGGAGGCCGTCCGCTCGTCGGGCTTCGACGACAACGTCCGCACCATCATCTTCACCGGCCGGCCCCTCCGCGTGAGGAGAAACCCTTACATCGAGAACTGGGAGACCAACCGCCAGAACGAGATCAAGGAGCTCACGGCCAAGGGTGTCATCCCGGTCGAGCACGACCTGGAGAAGCTGGGCGACGACATCGACGACGACACCATGGACAACGCCAGGCCGTTCCTCATGGGCAAGGCGGCCGCCGTGGTGAACGAGAAGAAGAGCGCGCAGGCGATTGTCGATGAGCTCGTTGGCGACGCGGCCAAATGGATAAGCAAGGGCAATGCTTCCATTGTGAGCAAGCCCAAGCTGTGATGATTTAGCGCTGAACTCTTTTTGTGCATACTTTACAGAAATGTCATGAATATTTTCGACCACCGTATAAGGCCCGGCGGTGACTGCTTTGCCGCAATTTGACATGGTCTCCCCAACTTTGGCCCCCAATCAGGGCCTGGAATACGAGAGTGACGGGGATTCCGGTGATTCGTCCACAAGTCCCCGGTTACAGCTCTGGCTCGACCTCTCAGTTGCAGAGTCTGCGCAGGTACCATCCCATGAGCGTAAGCAGAACAGGCATCACGCCACAGCGGGCTCTTGTACCAAAGTGGAGTATCATCGCCTTTTCTATTGGATTTAGCCTGCCATCTCATGCTTCTCATATACTTGCCATGGCGCTTCGACGCCTCCCTCGTCACTCATCCGTCAGCAATCCAGCTTCACATTTCGTGTCAACCGCTGCACTTTCGCTCTCCGGATTGGATGTAGCATGGTATCTGATGGCGATTTCAACAGTCTGGTTCGTGCGCTCAGACTGCCCATCCGCTTGGGGGTGGTAAACGGTTGTGAGATGCTGTTTGTCGCCCAACTTGTCACAGACTTGCCTCCAAAACTGGGAGGTGAACCTTGGGTCGCGGTCCGAGATCTGAGAAGTGGGAAGGCCCCATCCATGTGACAGGATCTTCTTGACGTAGGTGTCGGCCCACTCCTCTGCGCTCCAGCTTTCCTTTCCTTGACAAGCAGGATTCCCTTTGTCACCTTGCAGGTAACCGTGAGAAGCATGTCGAATTCAACCAGGACCATTACCGAGACATTGTCAATCGACACATAGGCGACGACCAGACCCCACCTAACGCCAACCACCGCACCCGCACACTACGTCGACAACCGAGGCTTGAGGAGGACATCACAGAGTTTAATTATGTCACATACTACTTGCGAGGACTGTCATGTTCTCTGGCTGCCGCGCGCGGGCGCCTGTCAGGAGTGCGTGGAGGCGATGGTGGACAAGGCTGCAGCTAGTATGGCACAAGACGGCACCCATGTATGGCGCCGGCATCCCGCCGGCTCGGGCGGACGAGGCCTACACGCTCCAGACGGAGCATGTATGCGGCCTGAAGTGTTATACGTGCGAGCAGCAGAGGCTTGACGTCGGCGCGGACGGCGAGGAAGGCCTCCGCTGGCAAAGGCAGAATCGGGATACTGGAAGACGATCCCGGCATCTAGATAGCGAAAGGTAATCCGGGCATCATGAATCGACTCTGGACTCCTGGCCCGTGACATATCCCGGGGGTCGGTTTTGACGGATCGTGATCCGTCATGGCTCTCCACGGGACCTGGAGCCCAGGTGGAGCGAAAAAAAGGAACGATCGAGGATTGGAAGCCGGAGGTGGAAAATGAAGTAGTAAAGTGAAACCAAACCCTCCAATACGCAGAGGCGCATTCCCTCTGCCATTACTAGTTCACTGTGCGGTGAAAACCGCGGACGCCTCGCCGAGGCCAAGGAACGCAAGAAAAAAAAGCAAAAAGTAACCCGTTCCTCCGATACGTAGTAGCCTCGCGCTACTGCCATTACGTTTTGGTAATAGGAAATGGGAAAGAAAGACAAAGGAATGTGTAGGACTTCCTCTCGGAATCCCGTTGGTACAGTTTAACGTCGCTATCTCCCGGGACGGGGGCGCCCTCGCCTAGAACGGTAGGGTTTGAGAGGTTCGGCGCTTCTTAAAAGACGAACCCACGTGGGAAGGGGTGGTGGGTGATATCGCCGAAGCCTGGCTGACCTGGTAGTTGGCGCGTGCGGTGGAGCCCGTGGCAATGTCGTGCTCTAGGTCCTCTGGCGTTGACATTGACCCCACTACTCCCGAGATGGGCAGTCTAGATCAACACAAGTGACCATCGGGGTGGTACTGCCTTGCGAGAGCGGCGACGTCCTGCGTCTCCTCTTTGACACGCCTCTCGAACTCCTACGTGTGCCACGCATTCTCTTCTACCATATGGACTCAGTAACTGGCCGTTGTTGGTTGGCGGAAGAAGGTGGAAAGCAAGGGGTGGGGATGTACTAGTTATGTGGTGAATGTACCCGGACGGTGACCACTCACGTGCTCTACAGGCAGAAGTGCAATGGCTGCCAGCATAACACAATAGAAGGGTGAAACTCGGTGGACAGTCACGACTCCAAATGGATTCGAACACATGACATGAATGTGATAACCACTCTGGGGTCATGCTAGAATCGACTACGATTCAAGTCTTCCCAGCTGGTTTTGATAAATCATCAGCCTAAAGACGTGGGTAGAATCGCTGATTGTGGTACTGATCATTCAATGGGATATATAAATAATAACTCCCGTCAATTTAGGCGCCAGGCCGTAGGAGTATTCATAGTCTAGAGGTTCATTGCAGTGGATAGAAACGTGGTGATTGGGCCATGATCACGAAGCCAGTACGGATTTACCGACAAGAAGCCCAAGTTCCATTTCCGACTACCTACCAGCGATGTCTTCGACATCAGACAAAGATGGCCATGGCGCCTGCTCTCGCGGACGAACACGTTCAACCACAAAACATCATCACTGTCCACTTCACCAACATATCAAAGAACTCAAATGTTGCGGCTGGAATTGCCGTACTGATATGATTATTGACTACTAAATTATACATTGACTTTTGATTTCGTTTGCCAGTGCACAGTTCCGTGCTGGCCCATCAGATACGTTCGTCGCGCCTGCGAAATGATTTTTCGATCAAGCTCTCTCTGACCAACAAGTCCACGAAAGATGGCTGGCCCCCGCTTACTTCCTGGAGGAGAAGACGGGAGCGGTGGTGGTGCCGTTGGGCAGAGTGCTCGACACGGAGAGGACGGGGACGTAGAAGGGGTCGGCGGTGGCCTCGGAGCCAGCGATGCTGGAGCCCCACTTGATGTCGAAGGGAGCGGTGCCGTTGAGGTGGACGATGGAGCCGGTCTGGTACAGGTTCTGGGACAGGGAAAGCTCTGCTAGCGGGTTAGCACATCTATCATCGAGGGGGAAAAAAAAAAGAGTGTGACAACTTACGGTTCCAGTCCTGGTTGAGGCTGAAGCGGAAGGGAGAGGCGTCGGACTCGCAGTCGTACCAGACGCCGTCGCCGCCGACGGTGAGGCCGTTGACGCTGCACTTGGCGGGGCCGGAGTAGCCCTGGTTCCACCAGATCTGGAAGTCGACGTTGGCGTTGGAGGGGTGGCTGCTGGCGGTGAAGTTGGTGACCTGCCACTCGCCCCAGGCCTCGGTGACGTTGTAGCGCTTAGCGAAGGTAGGGACCGCGGCGGCAGAGACGGCGGTGGCCAGGGTGGCGGCGGCGGCGAAGAAGGTAGAGGCACGCATGGTGAATTATTGTGTGTGTGGTTGAGCGAATGGATGGATCGACTGAGCTTGATTTGGATCAACGGCTGTGGCTTGAAGATTGGCGTTGTGTCGCTCTGGCGTGGTGGTTATATAGTGTGGGATAGCCATGGCCGTGGCAACGCAATACGAGATAGGAGGCGTTCTCGGGTCAGTGCGCTGTTCGAATGACGTTCTAAGGCTACACCGTTGGGCTGAGATCGTCGCGCCGCACGTGGCACTGGCCGCCCGCCGGCACCGGATTGACCGCCACTCTTTTTATAAACCTCCGCCTCTCAAATCGAAACGCCTCGCAGCTGCAGCCAGTGGCTTCGATCCAGTGCTGTCCGCCACCACGACTGGCCATGTACGTAGCAGCGAGACTCAGCCACCCGACTTTGCTTTGCAGAGTGTAGCCAATATCAGGGAGACGTGTTTACACAGCGGACACGCTGTTTCGACCTCAACCCACTGTTCTGGAAAAACATCCGCTGGGGCATCGCACCACGTCGTGAGCACGGAACTCCATCGAACACGACATTCCCCACACTCCCCGTCTCTACGCAGGAGACCGTCGTTGACTCCAGCCCCTGAAGAGCTGTCAGTCTATCGGATCCTTTATGCGAAACGGGTTTACATAACTCTTTGGCGGTCGTTCCAGCATTGTAGGTATCAAATCCGCCAGCAAAGGAAAAAAAAAGCAAGCACGCAGGGCAGAGGCCGACATGCTCAGCCCAAGGTTCATATCTCGGAAATTGAATCGAGCGGGCCTGAAAGCAGGTGGCTTCGTGGGTTGCCTGGAGACAGGAATCGGAACATTCTGAATCGTGCTTCGTACGGCAATCGGCTCCATCGAGCAAAGCTTCTCCGCCAAATCCCCCCTGTTCCGTGCTTGATGCGCGACTGTTTCCGACTTTGGCAACGGTTCCGATCGAGCACCGCCACAACAGTCTGGGATGCCGCAGGGAGACCTTGGCATTCAGACCGCGCTGCACCGCCACGACACAGCCGGCTTGTTGCTCGTCGAGCTCGTCGCCCTTCCCCCCGGCTTTTCGCAGTGACTTTTGGCGTGGCCTTGAGTTCACAGCCAGCGTGCGTGCTCGTGGTCGGGCTAAGTGATCGATGCGTAAAGGGTGTCGGTGGCAGACGGAAGGTGAGGGAGGTCGCGGACTGCGTCAAGGCGAAGGCACGGCAAGAGTCTGGACTTCACTTCAGCACAAGACAATCAAATCAAATCATGTATTCCATGTGGTTATGTAGGGTGGTAGCCCGACACTCGCCGCCGACGTGAGTGTAGACCAAAGTCTACCAGCGTCGCGACGAGTGCCGAGTAAGCAAAAAGCTCAACACCCAGTTGCTGTATCGATCCCCTTCCACGCAGGAGTTAGAAATCGATAATCCGATTGTCGGGTATCTGACTCTCGACGGCCATCAGACACGATTGAGGTCAGTGGCCACCAAGGTTCTGTCCCGCCTCTGAACTTCCTCGACAGCGTCATCAAGTCGGGCCGCCAGTCACCACTCCGCTCTGATGGTCAACGGTCTCGGAGTCCCGGGCCAAAGTCGAAACGACAAAGTCCCAACCTAACCAGGCTGTCCCGCCGAGTTGAATCGCCGAGACAGGTGTGTAGGTGCAAGGACCCCTCGACGAGCGCAACGCCCAGTGGGAAAGGTTGCGGAGCCCCCATACCCAGCCGGAAAGGCGAGGAGGCAGAGCCCCCATCACCAGTCGACCAGGACGGGTTGTTGGCCCCCACATCTGACCGGTCGGGCGGCGTTTTCGGCCCCATCTCTGTTTCTTGCAGCTGGAAGTGGGCGTCGAGCCATCCTTTCGGCCGATGAGGGTGGGTTCAAAGGAACGGATTTTGATATGAAGAAGAAAAGAAGAGAGGAGCAAGAGGGCGGGCGCAGCGGGGTTTAAGTAGATTTTGGCGGCCGTGTGAATGTACGGGCGGCGTGTGACCAGCGAGCCCCGCGCCTGCCCAGTCCGGAAGCCGCGCCCAGGGTCGGCTCTTGTTTGGAAGGCGCGACGGGCGAGTGAGTGCCCTCAATCACCCTCGCCCTTCTGGATCCGGTTAGCGCCGTTGCCGCCTCACCCGCACGTCGTGAATGACACGCGCCCGCCTTTCACTCACTCACTACCTTTGAAAATGCCATCTAACACGGCTGCCGCAACGCGGTGAGTCCAGAGGGAGTCGGGTGTGTCAACCACCGAGGACAGAGAGCAGAGAACGTTCGAGGCGAGCACACCGCACACACGCAGCAGCACCAACGCGAAATGGTTGCGTTCAGACCAGCAATTCCCTATATTCCCTTGTCGCACATACACCACACCTTTAGCAAACTGACAGTGGCTTCGTCGTCAACATATCTCTCGCACGCTTTCGTCCGTAGACAACCCAAGGGAAACAAAGCAACATCTTGGAGGCCCGAAAATGAACGAGATGGAGAGAGGAGGGAGATGGTACTCATCTAGATGTCCGACCGTCTCGAAGCAATTTTTTGTCTCTCATCTTCCTTCCACCCAGTGAAATGCCCGAAACGCACAAATGGACAAACAACTCCCACAAGAAGTAGCGAGCGACGGATGCTAAAAGGAAAGCTTATCTAATGCCATTTATTTCTCTTCTTGCCGATCACCGTTGCCGTGTTCTCTCGGTTCAAAAAAAGCGAGGCGTTCGTGATGCCGCATCATCAACCCCAAGCGAAGGAAGAAAAGGAGGGGGACCCCATGGATTTGCATCTTTGTTTGAGTAGGAAAACGAAAAAGCCGACAAGGAAGCGTGAGAGAAAAGAGTCCCCGAGTTTTCCCTCACAAAAATGAAAAAATGATAAGAAAAAGGCTACCGAGCAAGAAAAAGTCATCCGCATGCTTCCCCTTCAAACAACCACCCTGGTATCACACAACATCTCCCACTTTCCCGGGCACTTTGTACTTTTTCCCAGAAAGAAGCAACCACCCCGACAACCCACTTGAATCAACCGGTCCCCTGTCCCTCCATCTTGCACCACGGATGCTCCAGCACCTGGCCGATCGTGATGCGCTGATCGACGTCGCGGTTGAGCATGAGCCGGATGAGGTCGATGCTCTCCTCGCTCATGATGTACGGCACCCGCAGGTCGTGGTCCATGATCTCGTCGATGCTGTAGAAGGGATTCTCCTTGTAGACGATGGTGTAGAGCAGAATGCCCAATGCCCAAACATCCTGTTCTTTGCCACGGTACGACTTGCCAGCCAGAACTTCGGGTGCTGCGTAATCTATCTTCGAGTCAGCCAGAGTCGTGACAGCAACAAAAACCAGGGACAAGTGTCTGTCTTACCGATGGTCCCCACAAAAACGTCAAAAGGACCGTTTTTGATGTACGCCGCAGAGCCGAAGTCGATGAGCTTGATGTTGCCTTCGCCATCGAGGATGACGTTTTCATCCTTGATGTCCCGATGCACCACCTTGGCCTTCGTGTGAAGGTGATGCAACGCCTCTGCCACCTGCACGAAGATCTTCCTGCACTCAGTCTCGTCCATGTTGACCCGCAGCTCGATGTAATCGAACAGGTCCATGCCGGGCAGCCCGTGCGGCACCATTTCGATGTAATAGTTGACGTCGTCTTCGAAGAAGTCGGCCATCTCTACAATATTCGGGTGTTTGAAGCCGTCGCGGCGGATGTAGTCAAGAACGTGGATCTCGAGCGGCACGGTGCCGAGGCGACGATCGCGGGTCCACGTATCGACGAGAATCCGTCGTTTGGTGACGTATTTGATGACCATCTTTTTGCTCCCGTTCTTGTACCGGCACAGCTTCACCTGACCATATGCACCTTGACCCATGTCCTCGAGCACGACGAAGTCATCGATGGTCTTCTTCTTGGCGGGCGTGCCGGGTGTTGCGGGCTGGTGCACGATCTTTGGGTTTGAGTTTGATTCTCGCTTGGGAGTGGATGGCGGTTCCACTTCTTTGATCTGCCTCGACAACAAGGACACAGGGGGGCTTTCTCGTCGCGGCGTCGATGCGTCTGCCTCTTCCGGGTGAAGTTGGCTGACCGACTGTCCCGGCGAAGGCTGGTGAGGTGGTGTTCCAGGCCGCGACATGAGTGGTGTCACAGGACCGACTCCGTGATTCACTGCGTGAAGCTGCCTAGAGTACGTGATCCAGAGAGCATAAACCACTTCTGAAGCAGGATGATGTTCGAGGTCTTCTTCCGACTCGTTTTCGACGATGACGCTGTCGGAAAATTTGGGCGACTTATCACTTTTGACCACACGCATCTGCACGTCAACCATGATCTCGGCGCCGTCCCGGTGTTTCGCGGGGAGACCGCTCGGCCTCAGGAAAACTGCTGCTGCATCCTCTCTACCTTCCCTCATCGCGAGCAGCGCACGAGCTCGGCGGAAGCTGTGCTCAGGGATGACGATGCCGTCGACTAGGCTCACCTCGTCCTCGTCGGTCATGATGTGGAGGATCTTGTCGAAGCTGGGGAGCAATTCAGTGACATGCAAGCCATCCGGGTTGGCCTGACCGAAGAGCGAAGAGGAAAAGACCGTGTTTGCGCTCGAGACCTGAAGCGTACTGGCATTCAAGACTAGAATGCCTGCGATGTGAGGGAAACTCGAAACGCGGAATGTCGACTCCTCGGGTAGCTGGTACACGGTGATAGGGATATTGATACTGTTCTGCGTTCGGGCGGTGAATGTCTTGAGCTCGGAAATCTGATCGAAGTCGAGGGCGCCCGTGTTGGTGCCGGGCACGCGCGGTATCTCCGGAATCAGCCTTGCAAGGTCCATACCTCTCCGAACCCGCTCGGTCCCCCAGATCGCTTCTATCGCGCCCTGTCCCTTGATTACAGATCCTATTTCGTCGACCGTCACAAACACCACGTCTTCCGCGATCTCCTCAAGAACCCAGATGAGGCCGCCGCGCTTTTCCTTGACCCACAAGCTCGCGGCCCCCGTTGCGCCGTTTCGTTTCTGGATGGGTACGACATCGCCGCATAGTAGTACGCCTCTGGACTTGTTGCCCTGGTGGTTCAAGCCGCCCTTCACGTTTTTCCCCGGCGCAGAGGACGAGCCACTCCCATCGTCGGTCTTCGCTCTCTTCTTTTGCGATACCCGTGATGAAGGCTTGCTCAGCAACTTGGCCGTGATTCCGTTGCCAATACTGAGGTTGTTGCTCGTAGGAACGGGCTTCTGGGCCGCTTGGACTTCCAACGCCTTCCTGGAGCCGGCTTCAGGGTCCCTTAGCTTGTTCTCCAACCACTGCCTTCGTTCTTGCTGGACGACCTCCAAGATGCCCATCTTCCGCACTTCCGATCTCGTCACCCCAAAAACAAGACAAGCCAGGTCGTTTGCTGCGGTGATGGTCCATGGCGCCTGGGCTTCGGTTGTAAAAATAGCTTGGGCTGCTGGTGCCCAGCGGCTGCCATGTCCATGCGGGGCATTGGCGCTCGAGTGTGATCCGGGCACGGAGGGTAAGGGTGTTTGCGGAATCGATTGTTTCGGGGAGAAGGCCTGAATCCCGGCAAATGTAGTAGGCTCCGCGGCCAAGTAGGGTTGGGCCAGGGCGTCGTTCAACCTGCTCTGAATCTTAAGTGGTGCTGTATCCGTATATGTCCTTTTCAACGCCAAGCGGGACAGCTGCTTGTGCGGAGAGGCACCGGGCGAGCCGGAGGTCTGAGATGACGAAAGCACGCTCGACTCGCTTTCGGGTGCCAAGGCCTCCTCCATGGTGGGCTTGAGGGCCGGGGAAAAGGCAGAGGCGCTCCTCGGGCTTGTTAGGGGCGTGTTCTCGTCCAAGGGCTCCGGGCTTTCTGAGCGCGGCGCGAAGCTCTTGTCGAAAATATTTTCGCCGGACGGATCCGCAGGGCCAGTGACGGGCCCCTTGCCCCCCAAGCCATGGGCCTGCAGAGCCTCCTCACCGATCAGATTGGCGCGCGCCAGCAGGTCCATCATGCTCTGCAGCTCCTGGTCGCCGCTCAGACGGGCCTGAGCGCTGGCGATGCCGGGATTGATGGCGGCCCAACCCAGCTTGTCCCGCATAAAGTCTATGGACCGTTTCAAGACATTCTGGCGGTTGTATATGAAATCCTCGGACTGGTGGGCGAAAGAGAAGGAGTGGAGGGACTCGGAGGGGAATCGGGAGAGGTCTTCGCTGAAGTTGAGGGCGGGTGTGCCGGGCCCGGAAGGTAGTACGTGCGAGGCCGAGGGGTGACGCGTGGGCGGCAGGGACAGGTTGATCGAGGCAGACCGCGAGGTGGCTCCGCTGGTGCTGGGACGCAGCGGCTGCTGCCGTATGCGGCGAAGACCCGACGCTCCTAGGCCATGCTCGTGCTCAGGAACGATGGGCGATCTGGCAGGTCATTGTCAGCAGCAGCAGGGGAGCGGGCGCCGCGCGCGCGTGTCACCAACCTCGTCAATCGGTCATAGTCGCGCGAGGTGCCTGCGTCGAACGACATGCGCGGGCGGACGGTGTTCACGGCGAGGGACGAGTTGGCGGGGCTGCTGTGGGACAGGAGGTTGCTGGTGCTCTTGTTCTTGGGCAGCTTGAGGTCGCTGGTGGTGGACGTCTGCAGCGGCGGCAGCTGCTCCGGGGCCGTGGTGCTTGTGGGTTTGGAGCCTGCGGAGAAGATGCACATCAGAGCTGTCCTGCGCTGGTCTGAGCTGCGGTTGGTGTGGTGATCGGATGTGCGGGCGGCGTGACGGCTGCGCCCGCTCTTCTACTCAAGTCACGACGGTCACGTCCCGGAGCATCATGTCTCGCGGTGCGGCCTGCTGCCGGCTTGGGCGACGGGTGACCTGGGCCGGCTTGGGCGGCGGCGGCTGGTTGCGGGGGCAGGCGGACAGCAGCAACGGGCCTCGCACTCACCATTGTCATTTGGCGTGCTCATAACCATACCAGGAGAGCTGACGGGCGGCCAGCAGGGCGTTGGGGGAGAAGGGCAGGAGGGGGAGCCGGCAGAGGGGCCGGCGTGGGTTGGCGGGCGCGGGCGCGGGGGTTTTGGGCCTCTCTTGCTCCAGCTACACAGATCTACGAGCGAGAGCAGAGCGCGCGGTGGCGGTCGGGGTCGGTGCTTGGGGCTGTTTTTGTCGGGCTGCCAATGGGGCTAGCCGGGGGGTCTGGCTGGCTGGCTGGCTTGCTGGCTTGTGACAGAACTCCAATGCGGCCTGCGTCGCACAGAGGAGCTGTGGTGATGGGGCGAGAGCGGCAAGCAGCTGACGCGTGGGCGAGACAGCGCGCAGCAGACGGGCTCGCAGGCTTGCGGGCTTGCGGGCTTGCGGGCTTGCGGGCTTGGCTGAGACGGCGAGGCGACAGATCGCGGGGTGCTGGGGGGAGCTGTCGAGTCCTGAAGGCGGCCTGGGCGTAGGAGACGTTGCGAGAGCGCGCGAGGCCGCGTCTTTTCATCATCGCGCATTCTACCGACTGCGCACTCAGCCAAGCTAGTCATCGTCGCTGACTCGGCTGACTTGATGCCACCGGACCCTGAACACGACAAACCCAGCCTCGACACCGCTCCCGGCCCTGCCACCATCCGCAACCGCGCTGCGGACCGCCGCGCCGCCTGAGGCCTGCGCCGCTCGGCGCTCCGCTGTGCTCGACCATCGCCAGCAGCCTGTCCGCGGCGCACGCGTGGCCGGCCAGCCTGCAACCCGCCGCCGCGCCCTATCGCGAAAGGCGGTCGTGGCACAGTGCCGGCGCCCCTGGTTCGTGGGAAGAGGCAGCAGCCGTCGTGCTACCGAGATGGTCGCCTGGTGTTGCCGGCCTCCGCAACCCCCAGGCCTCCCTCCCGCCCTTCCACCCGCTTCGTCCCCGTGTGACCTTCGTGCCGCTTCGGACCGGGCTCCGATCATCCACTTCCGCAGACACGCGACTCCTACCGTGCTGCTGCTCTCTGCGCTGCGTAAAGCTGGGCCATCCGCAGTCTCGACTAGTACCGCGTCTGCGTTTGCGATGCGTCGCAGGGGTAAAATGCACGGTACGGTACATGCGAAGACACGGAACGTCTGATGCAGGCGGGGGTCTGGTCTGGACCAGCTTCCCCGACCCTGCCTAGCTCATCGAGATAGGCACCGCGTTTTAAGGTGCAGCATGCAGGCTCATCTTCATGTGAATCGACCCGAAGCTTTGGTTATTGGGAGCAACGTCGCTCTTGGTGCCACGCCCATGCACCTGTCTACGTGCTTCCACAGGCTGCCGAGACGTGGAGCACAATTGCCGCCACAACTGTGATGTTACTCGACTCTGCTCAGGACCTTTGTAGTTGCTCGCTTTGATTTTTCGATTCTTTTTTCTTTCTTTTTTTTTTGGAGAGGGACCCCGGGGAGGTGCCTACATCTGGATGCATTTGTATGGTTTCAACACTTACATTTGCGTCCAGAAATCTGCTTCACCTCCCTATGAAGAAAGGATGCCTAAAAGGACATTTACATTGGGACATCTGCTTCGACTGCCCACGTAGAGAATCACCGTAGGTCAATTTCTTTCCGCATCCACCGTGAAGGCAACTAGTTCTGGACAACGCCATGTTCCACCTCACTAGTCTGCATATAGATGGATGCCACAATACTCCGTCATTAGCAGCCCCCTGTTGCACTCAGTACCTCAGGTTGTTCTTTTGTTCCTCCCAGAAATTCCGACACGCCCTATGCATGCTCAGCTGTTCCACCCACCACTCTCCGAAGCTGTCCTCGACATCGACGTCCACCTTCCCGATCCTCTCATTCCTCTTCAACCCGCACAGAGCACACGGCTTCACGCTCGCAAGAGCCCCTTCCGCCTCCTTCGCAACCCGAATCGGCATCGTCTCCGTGAGCTCTGGAATGGCACCAACGCTCCTCCCTCTATCATCCTTGCCGTTCACCTGCGCGACCACTGACCGTAGCCTGCCGACCTGGTCTTTCCACGCTCTGACAACGTCCGCGGCTTCACGGTCTTCTTTGGTCGACTCGGTGCGATCAATCGACTGCAGCTTCATGCCACCGGCTCCAGCCTTGCCAGCTTGCCCGATGCTCATGCCCTGAGCAAGGAACGTGTCACGCTTCCAGCGCAACTTGCGGCCGGCAATGATTCGAGCCGCCACTGAGCCCACCGTGAGGTATCCCCGCAGGAACCGTACGACAGCTTGGTCGGCAAGGATCTTGGGGCGAACGTGAGAGGGCTGGGTGCCGAGCGGTCTGAAGAAAGACGAATGTGCGGAAGCAAAGATGGCTGGGAACAGTGTAAGGAGAAGGGCGGGAGGGGGGACATTTGTTGGCGGAAGAGAATTCGGCGCGGGATCGGGAATGGGAGCCGGCGTGGGGACCGGGAAGTCGGTGGGTAGAGAACTTGAGGAAGCCGCCGCCACCGGTGCTGGCGCTGGTGCAGGGTTCGTGGGGATTAGGTCATCCCAGTCGTCGTCCCAGCCGATGGCCGGACCTATGGGTTTTGATGATTTAGCCAGCGAGGATTTAGGGGCAGTGGCCTTAGGTGCCGGTTTCGCAACGGTTTTCGGAGGGGGTGGCGACTTTGTGGCGCCAAAGGCTGGTTGTGGTGGTTGTGTCTTCGAAGCGAATTTGGCAGTCGTGCTCTTTTTCCAGTCATCCTGCTTCGATGTCGGCGCCACAGAGGTGAGGGGGTCGGAGATTTCTAATTCGCCTAGAAGCGCATCTATATTCAGCGGTTGGGCCGTGGCAGGTACAGCCGCGGCTTTCGGAGGCTGTGATGACGCAGGAGCGGGAGAAGGTTTTGGAACGGGAGCCGGCGAGGGGGTGGCAATCGGCGCAGATAGCGGCAGTGCGGGAGCTGGGGTAGGAGCAGCATCTTCAAAATCACCGAAATCATCATCTTCCTCAGACATGTTCTCGGCATCGAACAGAACATTTGGATCACGTGGGGTGGCTGGTGCTGCAGGTGGTACGGTTGCGAAGGCTGGCGGGGGAGCTGCGAAATGCGGTTGCGCGGCCGTGCTCTGGGGGCGCGACGGAACGCCAAAGGCGCTGAAGTCGAAAGGGTCATTTTTGGATGCGGTGGGATTAAAGGTTGGCGGTGGAGCAGGCGAGGTTGAGAAGCCAGAAGGGGCATTAGTGCCGGCAAGGCTGGTCGATGTGCGGAGACTAGCCCACGGGTCCGGTGCCTGGGAGGTGGTATTAATAGAGGCTGGATTGGCTAGGGCTGCAGATGGGGCGGAGGTGGGTGCATCTGCAAAGTCTCCCCAGTCGTCGTCATTGCCGGTCTCGGCTTGAGTCGAGGTTGGTGGAGCGCCGGGGGTGGCCGAGAGGGGTGGCCGCCCCTGGGCTGGAAAGGCACTCACGCCGGGTTTAGACGAACTGGATGCGAAGCCAGGCGAGCCGGAGGGCGCGGGAGACTGGCTCAGGCCGGCAAGGTCGTCGAACAGAGAGAAGCTCGCTGGATTGGGCTGCGGCTGCGGAGGCCGTTTCTGCTGGCCCTGGGGCGGCGGCGCGGGGCTGCCAAACTCGGCCAACAGATCAAACGACATGGCGGATGGCGATCGGGGGGGCTTCGCAAGTGCAGCTCGAAGGAGAGGCGCGGTGGGTTCAGTGCAGTTAAACGGGTGGTGTTGGAGAGAGTTGTTCTAGACACAGGCCACCCGAGTCGGCCGTGCCTGCCAGATCGCGCCTGGCGCTCGCTTCCCCTGCCGGACGGGCCGAGAGCGCGCAGCCCAAGCTTCGCCCTCTGCGCCCTCTGCGCCCACTCACTGCTCTCGCTCTCCGCCCCCATCTGTTGGCAATGTCGACGCGTACTGCGAATACGTTGCTGTGGCGCCTCTGCTCCTCGCCCGATCCGGCTTCCTGCTCCGGCCCGTCTCCACAGCACTAACCCGCCGCCGAGTCGGGCCAGTGAACTGACAGGCCGGCATGAGGGTCGCACGGTGTCGAACGTCGATATGCTATTTCAGGCTGTTATGAGGCTGAAAAGGGATCGCTCGCATCGCTCGAGCCAATCTATAAATTTCGCAGCCATGCCGTGCTGATTGTCTCGCTCTATCGGCTCGCTCGCCTTCCAATCTTTCCAGCAGCCGCCACCCCAGGCGCTTGCCACCCCCCGCGGCCCAACGGATCTTCGTTGATCTGCGAACTCACTCGTCATGAAGCTCTCCGCCGTTTTTGCCACACTGACTGCTTTGGCCGGCGAGGCCACTGCAAAGGCCGTGTTCGCCCACTTCATCGTACGGCTTGAGATTGTTTATTCGTATTAGCTGCGCTGCTTGGACGCTTGCTAATCTATGCTCAACTTCATAGGTCGGGAACGTATACGAGACCTACACAACTGACAAATGGACGAGCGACATTCAGCTGGCCCAGGCGTCCGGCATCGACGGCTTCGTGTTGAACATCGCCACTCCCCTGAGCGAGGACTTGCGCACTCAGATCGCTGCCGCTTTCACTGCCGCCAACGATCTGGCCAGCGATTTCAAGTGCTTCTTCTCCTTTGACTACCTAGGTGGCTCAGGGGCCTGGGATTACGAGGACATCATCTCGCTCATGACAGAGTATGGGTCGAACTACGCTTACCAGAAGGCTACGAGGGATGGTACCAGCCTGCCCTTCGTTTCGACATTCGAGGGTGGCGCCTACGCCAGCAACTGGACCACCATCAAGTCAGAGGTCGATGTCTACCTCGTTCCGGATTGGACTGGCTCAGGGTCGGATGTGGTGAAGGCAAACATTGATGCCGGCGCAAGCATCGATGGCTTCTTCAGCTGGGATATGTGGCCTGAAGGTGCAAATGACATGACCACCACTCCAGACACCACCTGGCAGGGAATCCTTGGCGACAAGGACTACATGATGGGTGTCAGCCCTTGGTTCTTTACCGACCTGGAGGGCTACGGGAAGCAGCGGCTCTGGCGTGGCGACGACTTGTGGGCGCAGCGCTGGGACCAGGTCATGGAAGTCGATCCCGAGTGGGTCGAGATCGTCACATGGAATGACTACGGCGAGTCTCACTACATCGGGCCCATCTGGGAGGCTGGCATCCCTCAGGACACGGCGAACAATGCCGACGCCCGTTGGTACGTCGAGGGAATGGGCCACCAGCACTGGCGTGACCTCCTTCCCTACTACATCGCCCGCTACAAGAATGGCGAGGCGCCGGAAGTGACTGAGGAGAAGATCAGCTGGTGGTACCGCCTGACACCCAAGGCTGCTGGTACCACGGACGTCACGGGCAACGATTGTTCTTACCAGACCTGCCTGGACCCCAACGACATTGTTCAGGACGAGGTCTTCTTTACCGCACTGATCAGCGATGCCTCGAACACCAACGTTGTGGTCCAGATCGGCGATAACGATGCCGTCTCCCACGCTGCCACGGCCGTGGGTCCCAATCACTTCAGCCAAGCTTTCAATGGGCAGCTCGGCAATGTGACGTTCTCAATCGTTAGAAACGACGAGACGGTACTGACTGGAACGGGTTATGCGATTGTTGCCGAGCCGGCCAACGGCGAGAGGAATTACAACGCGTATGTTGGTGGTGTGCCTGATACGTATGATGAGTTGTGATTGGGGCATTTCGGCATACTGGTGGTGTTGGCAAGGAAATAGTCTTATCATTAATTGAAATCGTAAAGTAATCGCACACCAAATTTTCTGATTAATCTTCTCTAGGGTTAGCTGTCCATGAACCGGTAACAACTCATGGTATGCAGTGGGTAGGATTCATCAACGCTACTCCGAATTTTCTCCGGCCTACTGCAGCGAACGTGACTCTCCAGCTGCGCGTCGGTAGGTACGCCAGCCACGTCGCCGCCGCTCCAGACCTTCGGCCTTCCGCTTCGCTGGAGGAATGTTTCCACAGTGCCCACGACTACGATAACGTGCCCCTTGAGGCAGTCGGAGTCAATGGAACTCTTGCAAATATGACGTCCTCCAGGTATTTGAGCCGTTCAGCATCTTGCTCTTCTTAAATCTCCAGCCAATTAGCAAAGAAGGAGCACCTCACCGGACGACTCTCCGCCTCCCACTGTTTGCAGGACCTGGCTGTTCTCGTGTCTGGAGATAAGGATTGTTCCTGTCTACATACGTAGTGGAATTCCTCATCCAGATACAATTGTACGGTTTTATTCTTATATTTACATCCAGACGAACACCTCAGCTACATACAAAGAATGGCCTTTGGAACCTACATCCAAGGCTCACGGTCAATACGAATATCAGTTAATTTAGAACATTTTCGTAATTTAGGAGAGGATTCGTTCAAAACATTTACGAAAGCGATGACGCACCCGACTGGAGAACCGGTGGCCGAAAAGGCCGAGCATTCCCGGTAGCTCTGGCCACAGAAATTCCTTTTCTTAGTAGGCATCAGTCAGCAGAGCATTTGGCTTGACTCACGGCAAGCTAATGTCGGAACTCTGCGTGGCGACGTCGATCTCAGAAACCTGGGCCAAGCCGGAAGCTCCGATGATATAAGCAGTTGTTGGGAAGAACGCGGTAAGGACCCGTGTGGCTGATGATAAACTTTGGTTCAGTAGTCGGATGACGGGCGCGGCACAGCGTGGGGTAGGGGAAGTCCAATAGCATATCCACACTAAACAACCTAATGCATAAGCCCCCTCAGATCGAGGCTACGGTGATAATTTGGCTCTCTTTGACAGTTGTATGCTAAAAGCGGATAGTCTGACCAATACGCCTCCATTTTGACTGTCGCCATGTTGCCTATCGTTTTCCGTGGTCTCTAGAGCATTAACTGCCCAGACCTACTCGGAAAGACGATACTGTTATATCTGAGAGTTCTCTAGGAGAAAGCCGCATCAAAATCTACGGAGCCAAAGCATGTCGATAGAAATGCTGACACAAGGCAGTGGGAAACCAGCGCTAATGTGTTTCAATTTAAACCCGATCATCATGTCCGGCTTGCCTCTCGAGCGGCAACAGTGAGACACTTGCTCGTGATGCACAAGCGGGGTTCGCTGACGCTTCTTACGTTGGACGGAGGAGTGCGTCGATGATCCCAGGGGACGGTGTCTCTCCCTCAGCATTATTCCGTCATAACATTTGAGGAGTGTGAAGGACGTGAACAGAATCCATATATTATAAGCGTATGCGATGCAGCAGAAAAGGCTTCTTTTCTAGTATTCTCGTTTTTCTTCTCGCTGCGGAAGCATTTCCTACCGAACAATACAAACCATGGCGCTTAGGGAGGTCTTCTCTTCCTTCACTTACGATGCCACTGCCGGCCATGGCCGTAATGGGCCTCACACCTCGCTCCAGAGCTTCTTGTTCGCTGCGCCCTTGGTCGTCGCTGTTCTCGGTCTGCTCTACGTGTGGGTTGGGCGCAACAGACTCATCTCCGGCTTCCCCCTTGTGAGGGCAGACGAGACGTCCAAGTACAGTTTCGAGAAGGCGCAGGCGGAGTGGAACGTCGGTGCGCACAAGCTCATCGAGAAAGGGATCGAGCAGGTACGTTGGTGTCACATAAATGCACAAACCCTTCCCTCACTTGGTGGAGGAAGAGGAAGGGCGCGTGCTAAACGGTGATCCCCCGTATTCATTATTCTGGGCACTTAGGTCAAAGGAGCCTTCCAGGTCGTCACAGCCATCGGGCCTAGAATCATCCTGCCGAACAAGTTCGCGGACGAGATCAGGAACGATCCGCATCTAAACTCCACGGATGCTATAAACCGAGTGAGAGAAGCCGCCCCTTCCTCAGGACAAAGGCGTCGACATGGCGTACTCACCCCACGCAGGAGTTCTTCGGAGACTATCCCGGCTTCGAGGCCTTCGCCATCTTGAAAGAGAGGGATATCTTCCAAGAGGCCATCAGGATCCGGCTCACCCAGTCTCTGAGTGAGTAGCAGCAGCCCCGTTTCGAAGACAGCTGGACAATAGAGAGCCCATTTCCTCTGACTCGCGGTTCCCCCTCCCAGACTTTGTCACCGAGGACCTCGCATCCGAAGCGCGCGCCGTCTGCACCGAAGCGATTCCACAAAGCAAAGGTACTCTCCCTTCATCCCCCTCTCCCTCCCCCCTCCCCCCTCCCCCTTCTTCCTCTCTCTCCCCCTCTTTCTCTCTCTCCCTCCCACTCAAAAGTCTTATCTCACCCTCTCACCCCCTCTCACAGAATGGCGCCCCACCCCCCTCAAGCCCCTGATAATGGACCTCGTCGCGCGCGTCTCGCAGCGCGTCTTCGTCGGCCCGCGCGCGTGCCGCGACGCCGAGTGGCTCGCCATCACCAAGCGCTACACGGTCGACGCGTTCGGCGCCGCGCGCGAGCTGCGCGCGTGGTCGCCGCTGCTGCGGCCCTGGGCGCACCGGTTCCTGCCGTCGTGCCGGCGCGTGCGGGCGGACTTGGCGGCGGCGCGGCGGATCGTGGGGCCGGTGGTGGAGGCGAGGAGGGAGGAGGTGAGGCTGGGGAGGGAGAGGGAGAGGGCGGAGGGGAAGAAGGCTGGTGGTGGGGGGGTGGAGAAGGTGGCGGATGCGGTGGGGTGGTTGGAGGAGAGCGCGAGGGGGAGGCCGTTCGATCATGTGTGTGGGCAGTTGGCGTTTGCGGTGGCGGCGACGTTTACGACGACGGAGCTGACGAGCGTGTGCGTGTTGAATCTGTGTGCGTATCCGGAGTATGTGGAGCCGTTGCGGCGGGAGATCGTGGAGGTGATGGGGGAGGGGCCGGAGGGGGAGGGAGGCGGGGGGGAGGCTCGGTGGAGGAAGGCGGCGTTGCAGAGGTTGAGGCTGATGGACAGCTTCATCAAGGAGTCGCAGAGGCTGCAGCATGAGGTTAGAGGTGAGTCGGGGTGCGTTTGGTGTTGTCTGCTTCTTTCTCACTGTTAATCCCCCTGCACGCACAGCGACCATGACCCGCCTCACCCGACAGGCCGTCACCCTCTCCGACGGCACCACGCTGCCCAAGAACGCGCTGATCATGGTCGGCACCGACATGGCCATGGACCCGGCCGTCTTCCCGGACCCGCACGCCTTCAACGGCCGGCGCTTCCTCGAGATGCGCGAGCGGCCCGGCCAGCAGAACCGGTGGCAGCTGGCCACCACCAGCCCGGAGCACCTCGGCTTCGGCCACGGCGCCCACGCCTGCCCCGGCCGCTTCTTCGCCGCCAACGAGGTCAAGGTGTTGCTGGTCTTCCTGCTGATGCGGCACGACTGGAAGCTGCCCGAGGGAGTGACCGAGAAGCCCGAGTTGAGGAGGTGGGCGCACGAGAAGTTTGTGGATCTGGAGGAGCGGGTCATGGTGAGGAGGCGCGACGAGGAGATTGAGCTGTAAGCGGATGCGTGGGTGAGCGTGGCAGGGGACAAATTGAGAGCGGTGGGAGATATATATACGATAGGACGTCCGGGCATCGAATTACCATTTCATCCAGTAGTCCGTACTGCCACCGTCTTCTTTCTACCTACAAGACAACGCCCCTCAAACCCCAAACGCCACCTCATGCACCTCCCCATCACTCAGATCCACCACCCACCCCCCCTTGGCCCTCTCCAACCCCTCCGTCACCACCCTCACCTCGCCCACCCCCTCCACCACCGCGCTCTGCTCCACCGTCACCACCGCGCTGCTCGCCACCTCCGCCCCATACCCGGGATCCCCCTTCACCCGCACGACCAGCCCCTTCGTCCCGGGCGTGTACGCAAACCCGTCCACCACCCCGGCATCCAGCCGCACGTACACGCCCAGCGGCGCGACGTAGACGTTCCTCCTCGCCGAATCCTTCGGACTCACCGTCACGACGACGTCGGCTGCATCATCGACGACGACGTTCCCGCCAAACGCCGTCCACCCGTACACGGCGTGCTCGGCCGCCAGGTACGTGGTGGCGGCGAGGGCGTGGCCGAGGAAGTTGGGCCCGTAGTCGCCGCTGTACGCGTCCCACGCGAGCGTGTCGGGCCACGAGTGGAAGGCGGCGGCGGCGAAGCCGTCGGCGTGGATGGACGCGAGGGCGGCCTGGCTGCCGGCGTGGCCGACGCGGAGGCGGTAGTAAGCGGATGCGGCGTCGGACGACGGGTCGCTGCGGTAGGCGGCGAGGAGCGGCAGGGCGTTGAGGCCGGAGCCGTAGTGGTGGATCTGGCGCTCGAGGCGCTGCAGCTTGCCGCCGTAGATGAAGTCCCAGTAGCGGCGCGCGTTGCCGTTCCAGCCCCAGTGCGCGACGGTGGGCATGTAGCCGGTGATGGAGGAGATGGCTTTGGAGGCGGTGGCGGTGTCGTTGAAGTACCTTTGCGGATGGGCATGTTAGTCGCCAGGCTCCCCTTGTGATCCAGAACCGCTGCCACTAGCATGGTCGAGCAAAAGAAAAGAATGGAAACTCACTTCGCCCAATAATACACGCCCTCCTGCCCGGTACTGTCCCACGCCATCTCGGACCCAAACGGATCCTCCTGCCCCTTCCACAGCTCCGCCCGCGTCCGCATGTCCGCCTCCAGCTCGTCCGCCTGCTCCGTCAGGCCCTCGGCCCTCAGATCCTCCAGCACGTGGCCAAACACCGTCTCGCCCATCAGCCCCAGGTCCCAGTACCCCGTCTCGTGCTCCCCCGCGGCGTCCGTCCTCATCATGCTCGCCACCGTCTTCTGCGCGCGCAGCAGGTAGTCGTTGGCCGTCAGGTTGCGCGTCAGCACCGCGGGCGCCGCCCGCCCCGCGCGGTACAAGCCCCAGTACAGGCCCGCGACGTGCACGTAGTCGTACGCGCGGTCCGTCGCGTACGCCGCGGCGCGGTCCCACGCCGACCACGTGTCCCAGCCGATGGCCGGGTCGTACGTGTAGTTGGCCGGCACGGCGTCGGGCTCGTAGTAGAAGACGCTCTTGCGCACGGCGTACTGGTCATCCGCGCCGTCGGTCGAGACCTGCAAGGTCCCCCACACGACGTCGGCGACGAAGGTTTCGAGCTTGGCGACCTCGGCGGCCGAGGGCGCGGCGGACTGCTTGAGCGCGGCGGCGAGCCAGGCGCCGGCGCCGCCTTCGTCGCTGAGGCCGGCGATCCAGGCGCGGTTGTCCTGCAGCACGAGGGCGGCGGCGTCGTGGTCGTAGGTGATGATGGAGTGGCCGCGGCCGAAGGGGTCGCTGGTGTCGTCGAACCACTGCTCCGTGGTGAGGAAGGCGCCGAGGTCGGCGACGGCCTCGGGCGCGGGCTTGGTGAGGCGGTAGTGCACCGTTTGCGTCTTGCCGCTGGCGTACTGGATGGTCAGCCGGACGCGGCCCCAGGCGCTGGCCGAGGGCGTGAGCTGGTACTCGACGACGCCGGCCGAGCGGGTGCTGGGGTCGCTGAATGTGAAGGCGTCCGCGGGCGTGCTGGAGATGGAGTCGACCGTGTCGTTTGTGTGCAGGAAGAGCCGGCCGGTGACGTCGGTGGGGAGGATGTAGCCCGGGATGCCGACGGCGAGCGGGGTGCCCGAGGCCACGACTGTGTCTTCGATCTCGGGGGCGGATGCGGCGACGGAGAAGCGCAGGCCGACGGTGATGTTGGCGCCCGGTTCCAGCGTGGCCGAGGTGGGCTCGTTCCAGGGGTCGACGCCGCTCCACTCGTTCTCGGCCCAGGCCTTGGTGTAGACTTGCCATTCGTAGTTGCCTTCGTACGTCTGCGACTGGTAGTAGAGCGGCTCCGTGCTGTCCTCGGGCAAGAAGCGCCAGGCCTCGAATTTGGTGTCGGCATTCAGGGGGGTGACGACAAGATTCGGGCCGGTGCCGGTGAGACGGGTTGCCTGGACGTAGCCGGCGTGGAGGCCAATGTACGGGTCAAGCAGGACGCAGTTGTCGCGTGTCTCGACGGCGGTGCGGTCGGTGAAGATGTTGTTGAACTCGACCGGCATTCCGAGGCTCCCAATCTCCACGCTTTCGGCCGCCACGTTGGTGAGAGTGAACTCCAGGCCAATGTCGCCGTCCACGTCAATCCATCTGCGCGTCACATTTAGCGTGGCGGCTGCGTCGGCCAAGGTAGGTCCCAGGCTTGCTGATGCAAGCCCTCCCGAGCTCGAGGTAACGGGAGCACGTTCGGCGGCGCTGTCGCCAGTCTGCCAGCTGCCTGAAGTGCCGCTGCGGTACCGAAAGGTGATGTCGCCGGTGTGGTAGTTGCCATCCCCGTTCCTGGAGGAGAAGACGTCGTCGGGAGAAAAGTCGAACGAGTCCAGAGAAGCTGGCTTGAGCGAGCGCAGAACCTGGGAGTCGGCTGCGAGGACGGCTTGGAAGTTGTCCGTGGAGATTGTCGTCTGGGCGGCGACAATGGAGAAGAAGGAGGCCAAAGCGACCAGGCCATCACGCAACGCCATGATGAAGTCTCGGAGCAGTCGCTAACGCTGCAGAGTGGCTGCGGGCCGAGCTCTCTGTTAAATACCGGCACGACCCCGCTCTCATGCGTCACGGATACGGCACCTAACTGTATTTTACGGGTCATCGTTGGTGGTAGCCGTTGGCCTGCCTGTTCGGGGAGGCAGCCGTGGGTTTGGTGATCATCGTCACTGTTATAAGACACCCCACAAGGCCCCTGCGCACCGGCAGTTCTCCCACCAATGATGGGGCTTCCCCTGTTGCAATCACACTAAAAAAGTTGACCTACCTGCCGTACGTAGGTAGCGGAATCCTATTTCTGAATGCTTTTGTATTGTTTTTAATAATCGCTTCAGCTACTCCATGATGAAGAAAGGTCGTTTGAACTTACATTTATTACGTCGGTATACTGGTTCGACTGCCCACACGAGGGATCGCCGCAGGCCAATTTATTTTGTCACCCACTCCAGACATATCCTGTGCAATTTAATCCCTCGAATGCGATGGCAACCGACCCCGTATTCCTCCACGAGTTCTGATCATGCCACACGCGGAGCATTCGTCCCTCATTCCTCTTCAGTCACGGGCCCTCAGCCCGCATGTTTCAAGGAGATTGAAAGCGAGAGAATCTCGTAAACCTGGCAGGTATTGCCGTGCACGGTGCACGGGCCCTTCAAACCTTTGGGTAGTCCTTTGATCAGCCAAAGATAGGACGCCTCATGAGCCTGGTGTTTCGACTGTCTTGCCTTATGAAAAAGATTGATTGATTGATCGAGTAAGTGGAGATTCGTTGATGGAATGCGTTACAGGGCTGAAATAGGAAATGGTAGCATCGTCTCACGAGCGTCGAAGTTGGAAAGAGACAGCGGGAATCACTGCAAGGCGGCCCTCACAAACAAGCTCAAGCCAACCAACGAACTCAGCGCCCACACGCCCGACCTCGCAAAGCTCGTCTTCACATCCGTCGTGTTCAGGTACAGGGCGTTGTAGGCGACGCGCAAGGCCACGTAGGTCCAGGCGGTGACGGCAACGGTGGCTTCGGGCACGGCGGCCCACTCGGCGCTCAGCACGGCGAGGCCAAAGAGCGGCAGGTTCTCGAAGCCGTTGCGGTGGGCGGCCTCGGCGCGCTCAAAGCGGGCGAGCACGTCGGCGGGCACGGACTGCTGCATCGTGGCGGACCAGGCGTGGCCCTTGGAGTTGGCGTTGTCCCAGCGGTTGTTGTTGGCGCTCTTGATGAGCCCGACGGCGTGCGCGTGCGGGTACAGCGAGACGAGCCACATGGCTGGGATGGAGAGGATGGCGTAGTGAGGCATTGTCTTTTTTCTTTTTTCCCTCGACGACTGGGATTGCTGCCTGCTGGCTGATTCGACGGCCGGGTGTGAGGTGTCGGAGATGGGGGCTGTGGTGTGGGCGTGCGGTCAGGCGCAGACGAAGGAATGACTGGCTTTATCGTCGAGCGGCGGAGAGCGAGGCTGCGACAATGGTTGCGCACCGAGTAGTGGGCGGACTTTGCGAGGTGCGCGAGGTTCGGGCGGGGCGGGCAGGTGCACGGACTAGTCAGCCGCGCTAAGCCGCATGCGGCAAGAGCGCTGCGGAGGATGCAGGAAGGGACTGAGCCGGCCGGCGTCGCAGCGTCCATGGCCCGTTGATGATGAGCCACTCGCGCGGCTGCATCGAACCTGCCGGCTGCTGACCAATGCCAAGCGAGCCGGTCGAGCTGCTGGCCTGTCTATGGCCTCTTGCTTTCAGCTGCTCGGCCCGCCGCACCGACTAGGGAATGTAAGCAATACGCACCTTCAGCTGAACCGCCACACAAGAGCCGCGAACGGCATGCAGCTAATCATGTGTCTGCCTTACACATCCCCCACACCTCGTTGCCTACCTCCTCGCCCATGGAACCACGCTGTCTGACCGCCCCCATGCCCGGATCTTGTCCCTAGCCCCGTCTCGTGCGACATCAACTGGGCAATTGCATCCAATTCAGATGCAGCCGGTCAGCGCCATGGCGACATCGTATCCATCAAGGGGTCTCACTGATGCGTCAGTCCCGAGAGGCAGTGCATCTTGCTTCGAACGCCAACATGTGAAGGTGCCTTCGTCGCCGCGTATAAATGCTTGCGCCCATCCGTCTTACGAGCATGGTATTTTACCCTCGAGCTCAAAATGGCGTCAGGCAACGTGAACAGAGGCCGCACAGCCGAAGCCTCGAATCTGCTGAGCATCGCAACCAAGGCCGCCGAAGACGTGCACAGCCAGGCCGGCCGAGTTGCCCCCAACCTCAACCTCGTCCGCAATTTTGGACAGACGCTGTTGGCCAATGGCACCGTTGATGATCGCAAATACCTCGTAAGTCCGGGTTGAAGGATGGTTGGCACACCATCTCGCTGACTTGGCCAGTACGAAGGCGTCATCCAGTTGGCGACGTCACTTCCAAATGACTCTGGTCTTCGCGATGATCTGAGCGCCCAATTCATCAAGACGCTCTGGAATGCGCTCGAGCATCCGCCCATCTCGTACCTGGGCGAGCCTTTCAAGTACAGGGCGGCAGATGGGAGCAACAACGCACGTTACAACAGCCAGCCCTCGCACGCGAGCAGCACTGACGGCCACGCAGAACATCATGTATCCGCAGCTCGGTGCTGCCGGCAGCCACTACGCTCGCAGCGTGGTTGGACAGAATCTGCGATCTACAAGCCTGCCTGAGCCAGGTCTCATCTTTGACAGTCTGGCCCCCACTCTCCTTCTGCCCAGCCAATGCTGACACCCCCACAGCTCTCCTGCGTCGAGACGGACTTGCCCGGGAACATCCCACCAAGGTGTCGTCTCATCTGTTCTACTTTGCAACCATCATCATCCACGACATCTTTCGCACCAACGACCAGGACGACACCAAACTCGTCAGCTCGTCGTATCTGGACCTCGGTCCGCTTTACGGACACTGCCAGGACCAGCAAAACGGAGTGCGCACCTTCAAAGACGGCACGCTGAAAAAAGACGCATTCGCGGAATGGCGCCTTCTCGGCCAGCCTCCCGGCGTGTGCGCCCTCATGATTGCCTTCAATCGGTTCCACAACTATGTTGTCCAGGAGCTGGCCACCATCAATGAGAACGGACGCTTCAGCCTGCCTTCGGGACTGGACCCCGAGAGTTCCGAATACAATACGGCGTTGCTGAAGCGAGACAACGACCTGTTCCAGACCGGAAGGCTGTAAGTTGGCCCGATCGGGCGCCCCGTACAACGCCACTGCCTTGCTGACCATGGCTCACCGCAGCATCACTTGCGGCCTGTACGTCAACGTCATCCTCAACGACTATCTGCGTACCATCCTCAACCTGAACGACACGGATGTTGAGTCCAACTGGAGGCTGGATCCGCGCGAGGCGTTCAGCAATGTCTTTGATTCCGAGGGCACGCCCAAGGGCGTGGGCAACCAGGTCAGCGCCGAGTTCAACTTCATCTACCGTTGGCATAGCGCCACCAGTAACCGTGATGAAGCCTGGCTCAACGACTTCATGGCGAAGATCTATGGAAAGGACATGGACTTCAGTAAGTGCCTTGACCTGTCAAGAAGAAGGAATGCAGCTGCTGATCACTCCGCCAGGTACTCTGTCAACCAGCGAGTTTTTGACCAAGTTGAGGCAGTGGGTTTACACATCTGTTCCTAGGGACCCCGGCGAGTGGGCTTTCGGCGACCTGGCGAGAGGCGAGGACGGCAGTTTCTCCACCGCCGACCTGGTTAAGCTGCTCCAGAAAGGCACAGACACTGTCGCGGGTGCCTTCGGCGCCCGTAACGTCCCGCCTGCGCTCAAGGCGATTGAGATTCTCGGAATCGAGCAGGGCCGGCGATGGGGGCTTGCATCCCTCAACGAGTTCCGGCAGTTCTTCAAACTGAAGCCTTTCGCCACGTTCAAGGAAATCAATACCCAGCCCGGTATTGCCGAAACCCGTAAGTGCCTCGATACTTGTGTAGCCGGGGTTGAGTAGAGGCTTATGCAAAGCGCAGTTGAGGCGTTGTACGGCCACCCAAACAATGTGGAACTCTATCCGGGCCTCATGGCGGAAGAGGCCAAGAAGCCGTTTTCGCCGGGATCTGGTCTGTGTCCAGGCTTCACCATCTCCGAGGCCATCCTCTCAGATGCGGTGACTCTTGTGCGTGGAGACAGGTTCTACTCTGTCGAGTACGGACCACAGAGTCTGACCAGCTTCGGGTGAGTTTGAGTTCGCTGTGAGGAGACTGGCACTGACGAGACACCCAAACAAGCTTTAAAGAGGCTTCCTCGGATTCCGACGTTGCGGGCGGCGGTGTCATGTACAAGCTGCTCATGAGAGCCTTCCCTGGCTTCTACCGCGCCAACAGCACATACGCACTCTACCCGTTCAACACGCCGGAAAGGATGCGGGAGCTGTTTACCAAGCACGGCTTCCCGCACAATATTGAGTTGAACTACAGCCCACCGAAATTCATCGGGCCTCCTGTTCCCGTCGTCACGTGGAAGGGTGTCGTCGATGTGCTCCACGACCAACAACGCTTCAAGGTTCCATGTACGATGATAGACGTGCGAAGCTGCCCCTTCATGACATGAGCTGACATGTGCTTCCAGGGGGAAAGCACACTTCTCAGCTCACCGGACATGATTACATGCTCTCCGGCGACAAGCCCGCCAACTCCAAGCAGCGGAGAGAGGTCGAAGAGGCCATGAACAGGCCAAGTGATAGCCTTGCCGAAGTGCGGAGCTTCTACGAGAACATCACTCGGGACTTGATCCGCAAGAACAAGCGCAAGCTGGGCAACTTCTATCAAATCGACATCGTCAAGGAGTGAGTTCTGATCTCGTGCACCATCCCCCAACAGCCCCGTCACTGACGCCCCTGAAGCATCGGCAACCTCGCGCACGCCATCTTCACGGCCAAATACTTCGACATCCCGCTCCGCGACGACAGCTCGACCAACGCCAAGGACGGCTACACGGCCAAGGAGCTCTACGACGTGCTCGCCCACCTGTTCCAGTACGTCTTCCTGGACATCGACACGGCCACGTCATACAAGAACCGCGTCGTCGCCGCGCGCGAGACGCGGCAACTGGGCGACGCGGTGCGCAAGGCGGTGGAGAGGGCGAGCAAGGCCCCCGGCTTGATCCAGATGTTCCTGGACTTCCTGGCCCCGAGCAGCGGACCGGCGCTGCCCGGGTTCGGCAGGGAGCTCGTGTCGCGGCTCCTCGAGAACGGCAAGTCGGTCGAAGACGTCGTCTGGGAGCTGATCCCGACCCAGGCGGCGGCGGCAGCCACCCAAGCCCAAGCAGTAAGCATTGTTTCCCCCTCTCTCTCCCACGCCAACATCACTGACACGTCGCGTCCCACAGTGGGCCCAACTCATCGACGTCTACATGTCAGACGAATACAAGCACCACTGGCCCGCCATCGTCGAGCTCGCCCGGTCCGACGACCCCTCCGCCTTCGAGCAGCTCGAGAAATACGCCTTGGAAGGGTAAGCAACCAAACCAACCAACCAACCAACCATCCAACCGACCCCCCGCTAACTCCCCACAACAGCTTCCGCCTCTTCCCCGCCGCCTCGGGCGTCCTCCGCACCGACAGCGGCGCCGCGCCCGACTCCCAGCAGGCGCAGCTCTTCCTCTCCTTCACCGCCGCCTCGCTCGACCCCGCCGTCTTCCCTTCCCCCCACGCCGTCCGCCTCGACCGCCCCGCCGAGTCCTACATCCACCACGGCTGGGGCCCGCACGCCTGCCTGGGCCGCCCTATAGTGACGACCGCCGCCGCGGCGATGCTGCGGGTTTTGGCGCGCGAGACTTCGTGTAGCGGCGGTGCTGGCCTGGCGCGGGCGAAGGGCCAGAGGGGGGAGATGAGGAGGAAGGAGGGGCAGGGGGGTGCGTTTCCCGTGTTTTTGAGTGAGGATGGGGCGGGGTGGGGGGTTTTCCCGGTGGGGAAGGTGGTTGTTTGGGGTGGGGAGGGTGAGGGGGGTGAGGGGGGTGCGGTGCAGGTGCAGGCTAATGGCGGGACGTCGGTGAATGGGAACGGTGCGCTGCCGGTTGGGAATGGGCATGTTGGTGGGAGGATGGGGTGAGCAGTGGGAGAGGGAGAGGGAGAGGGAGAGGAAGAGGGAGAGGGAGAGGTTTGATGATAGGGCGTGGAAGAGGATATTGGGAGGGGAGGAGCAGATTGTGTGGTTGCGGGTGTTTTGATTGCGGCTTTTTTCTCGTTTTCTGATCTCCTCTTCTTATTACCGTGACAAAGTTGGATCAATACAAATTGTATGCACATGCTTTGGGTCGTAGCTCATGGAAAGCTACACGAGGAAGGATGGGGCTTAGCTCGTATCTACTGGGTAGTGTGAAACGGTGGCTCCGCTGATTGGATCAGCCAACCACTCCTCCGGCTCCGCCCAGCCATCTCACCCGCGTGACTTCCGATCCTCTTGCTGCTGCCTGTGGACCCCATACATGTTCAAACTTCCTTCCAACCCAATACTCGACCACTCCCCAGGCTTGAGATCCCCGCCATGGGTGACGACAGCGTTTCGACACCGGCTTTCATTCAAGACCGCTTCTTGAGACCCGACGACGGAAAACTTGTTCCCTTGTTTGTGCAAAACTTCGACGAGGACCATCTGCCGCGTTCCCAGAGAGCATGGACGCGCATTGGCAAGCCCCAACCCCAGCTCCCCTTGTTCGTGAAACTGGCCAATTGGATATGGTCTCCGGCTTTGCAAACGGGCAGTCAAGGCCGCGGACATGATGCCTATGCCATCTTCCTGGTTGTCGCACGATGGTTGATATCTCTGCCGCTGCTGTTGCTTTTGGTAAGCACTCGCTACGGCTTTCCGTGCAATAAATGGCTGACAACGTCTACAGCTGGCTATCTTTCAAGTCCCTGTGCGCACGTTGAAAGCTCATAGATTCAACGCCAGCTATGATCCTGTTTTCATCAAGCCTGAGGATGAATCGGCCAGCCCCAGCAGCACCGAAGGAGACGGCCAAATTGCGGAAGACACTGATCTTTTGCACGCTCTACAACACCCCAAAAGTTCCGACGACCGCATTCTGCGCCTCTCTGGAATACCCGCTGCCACTATTGACTGGGCTTCTCTTGATCCGGTTTTGACTTGGACGTTGACCGGGCGGAGGGCTCTATGGCTGGCCGTCTTGCTGACCGTCACCCCGGTACTCATCCTTGGCGCTCTGTACATGCTGTTCCTTGCCAGATTTCTACGGACGGAGCACTCGCCAAGGCCCTTCTGTATCCTTTTTTGTGCTGGAGCCGTCATGCTGTGCCTCTCAGCACTTGTTAGCCTCGGTGCCACTTGGTTAACACACATCCCCCGAGGCGGACGCATTCACGACCTGCATCCACGACTTCTTGGATTTGAAGGCGAGGTAGACACCAGGACTATCAAGCGTCACCTCTTCGGCTCCAGCCGTGGACGCTTGGTTGAGGCGCATGCTTCCTCCAGGGAACCCTACCGCGACGACCCTGCACAGTCATCGTCAAGCTCGACCCCTACTCAAGAAAGGCTTTCTGGGCAGACAGATGGGGACCTGCAGTTCACGCTGATTGATACCTACACCATGACAGTCTACCGCATCGCCGCCGAGAGGCCGCCTGTCGCAGCATTCATGTGCGGGACTGATCATGATGGAGCGAAGATGGCGGTGCTGTGCTCTTACGATCGGCATACCAACACCTTCTTCCGTGAAGCGACAATCTACGCTAAAGGCATGGCATTTGAAAGGATGAAGCATGCCGAGGGGTTTCGTTTATCGCTCCAGAGGCTTTCGCGTGGACAGACCCACAGCCGAGGACAAGAACAACCAGGGACGGAGCAGGACTCCTCCGAAGTCTGGAGCTTCATGAGTCGTGTCAAGAAAGTTGATTTGATTCTGCTGCCCCTGATGTGGGTGAGTACGAAGAGCTGCATATCTTGTATTTCCACTCATGAATGCTGACCGTCTTGCAGTTCATCTACGGTTTGCAACCACTCCATTTCGCGGAAAGCCGGCGCTATACGACGCTCTCCTACTACACAGCCTTTCTTTTGGTGCAGGTTCCCGCGTGCTTTCTTTTGCGTCGTACCAACATGGGTCAAGCCCTTTTCATCCCCATCTGGTTGAAAGGTTCGTCTTGTTGCCTTGCTCATCTCTTCGCCATCTTCTAACCCGTAACGCCTAGGCGCAATGAGTTTGTTCACCATCACCTCTTCAGGCCATTCGAGCTCCACCGGTATTTTGATTGCTTCCCAAGGCGTCGTCGACGGTATCATCTTCCCAGCCTTCGTCATCCTCACGTGCTCATGGTACACGCCGCGTGAGCTACCTATCCGGATGCTCATCTGGACATCAAGCCGGCAGGTATTATGCCTGATCCCTTCGTGGTTTTGGGAGTACCGTCCAATCCATCTCGTATACACCCTTATCTGGAGCCTCCTTTCAATGGGCTGTGTTCTAGCCGCCACATACGCCTTCCATCACCTTGGAACCCCACTGCACGTTCGTTGGCTGCCTACGCATGAGAGGATGGAGCTTGCTGCATCCTCAACTGCGAAGATGGACTCTCCGCTCGGAGCGCCGGCCGTGAGATGGAGAGCCCAGGAGGTACCGAAACCCCGTCCAATTTCTAATCAATATATATAATCATACTCACTGTGCTTCCGTAGGCCGCCACCATCCTGAAAGACCCCCAGATATGGCTCATATTCTTTCTGTCAATGCTGGATCCCGCGCTCAACCTCATTGGACCCCTTCCGAGGCCACTGCCTGCCTTGATCGGCATATGTGTTGTTGTCTTCGCATGCGTCGTCATTTCCAAGCTGCGCGTTCCACTCAGTGAGATATCCCCCTCTTCTCCCCCGCCCTCCAAAAAGGTTGCTCCCAAAGGAGAGAGAGAGAGAAAGAAAGGAAAGCTGACCACACACACCCCCGAAACAAACAGTCGCCATCGCAACTCCCTCGGTGATCCTCCTCGCCGCCGGCACCCTCGTCATGCTCAACTACCACGCACCCAGCCTGTTCGTCCGCCTCCTCTTCTCCGACAAAACCTCGCCGCTGGCACTTTCCATCTACGCACTCACGTGTTTCGGATTCCTCGTTCAACCGCGTAAGTGCTGGTGCATGGAGTCTCTCTCCGTCTATCTCCCTCTCCCTCTCCCTCTCCCTCTCCCTTTCCCTCTCCC